GCTCTAAGCAACCTCAAGCCCCATGAGATAATAATTACCTATCATCACCATTTTACAATTGAAACAGATTGAGAAAAGTTAATAATTTACCTAATATAAGATACTTAATAAAATGGTTACTGAAATTAAATTAATTACCTTACAGGCATTTCCAGGTTAGTATATCTTGATTTTATCTTTAGAAATATAATTTGAATTGATTTACCTTTTTCCCTCCCAACTTATGTCAGCCTGGTTCTAGTCCTCTTTTCTTTGACTTAGATATAAAAAACAACTTGTCTTCCTTCTTCCACTCTTGTCCCCGCCTTCATATTCTTGACCTCTTAGTGTGGTCTTCTAAATATGTATAACTGTCCTGCTTGAGCTCCTTCACCCCTGACCCTCTCCTATTTGCAGTTGGCCTGAAATCCAGAGTTCTTACCATGGCCAGCAAGGCACCCATGTGCTCTTGCTCCTTTCCCTCTAGTTTCATCTCTTCCTGCTTCTTGGTTCTCTGCGCTCACTGTTCATCATTTGACTCTTGCCATAGGCCTTTGTCCTTAAAGTTTTCAGTCTTTAATCTTCTTCACTCACTCTTTTTGTATAACTGTCTCCTTTTTTTTTTTTTTTTTTAGGCCTTGGTTTAGATTGGAAAGGTTATTCCCAGCCCACATAATATCTAGATGGGTCTCTTCTATTCCAGAATTTTTTCATGCTATCTTTTTTTTTTTTCCCCAGTATAATTACCATTTAATTATTTAATTTGTCTAAATGTTCAAGATCATTTTCTTCCTAGAGTACAGTTATGTAGAAAGTAGAGAATTTTATTCTCTACTATATTCATTGGTCTTAGCATAATGTCCAGTTTTGAGCAAGCACTCAGTAAATGATTGTGAAATTAATGAATTTCTTCCATGTACTGATAATTCATTCTGTATAAATACTACATTCCATCACACTATTGTAGTATTCTCTAAATTGATCTCCAGTCTCCTTCAATTGATCTTTATACAGTAATGCAAGGTCAGTCTTGGGTAATTTTTTTATCATGAAAGTCCCTTACTCAACAATATATGTTCTTCATTTCTTAATCCACCACAAATTAGGCAATTTCTTTGTAGTTTCTAAGCAATTTTTCTCATTATGTCTCTCAACAGTTATACTAGATTTCCTCAAATGTCACCACACAGGAACACTAACAACTCTTTGAAGCTATTAGTCCTCACCTGTAGTCTTAGAGCTCCTCACTCTCACTGCTATTCATCCATGTACTGTGTGAATGTGGACTGCCAAATGTGGTAGGCCACTGTGCCAAGAGCTCTTCCTGATTCCAGGTGCTAACAACATGACCTTGCTCTTAACTTGGCCTCTTTGAACCTGTGTCTTCTCATCTGTAAAGTATAATAGTATTGGGTACTTCATAGGAATATTGTGGGGACTTCATGTAGTAATGCACATTAGGCACCTTTTTAGCCTGTCCGTAGTGCATGATGAGTGTTCAGAAAGTGCTAGTTATTATTCAAGGCCCAACTCCAGTCTTTATACATCCAGAAATCTTCCAGTCTTTTCTCAGATCTTGCCTACTGAGATTTCAGAGACTTATATGGTGAACTAAAGGTAGTTCCTGTGGAGTATTGGAAAAATCCTCCCAGGACTAATTTTTGCTTTTACACTGGGTCTCAAGTGAGAAGCAGCAACCCAAGTTTAGTAAGAAAAATCATACAGAAGACAAAAGATTTAGGAGTTGACCCTTGCTGGCCTCCTGACTTTTTGATTATAGTCCAAACAAATCACTTTATCCTTTCAAGCATCAAGTATCTACAAAATGAGTGCATTAAATTATATAGGTTTTTTCCAGCCTTGCTAAGCACTCAGTATTTAAATGTGATGATCAGAAAATGACATAAAAATGCAGCATGTCACAGTGTTTTCTCTGGGTCTGTTTCTTAGCCACCTGATTAACCCTTAAGAGTAGAGCACAGCTCCATGTGTTTAGGAAAGAAATAACACTATCAACTCTGAAGTGTTTGGTGATAGAGGTCCAGGCTACACTTTATAATTTTTTTAAGAAATAAGGTTTATTGTTTCCTTCCTAATGGAGCTACATTTAAACCATGTGAATGGACTTTAAAGATTTATTACAGAACTTTGATTTTCTTGGCAAAGTTGTACATGTTCCCTCCTGGCTTTGAAAGCCAGGAGGTCATTGTGCTATTGCAGAGGACTCTAATCATTATTATGCTGTCTTTGTCTCTAGGATCCAAACCAAGCTGATGAAGAAGCAATGACACAGATAATTCGAGTTTCCTAACCCTAGGCCATATGATGGAGCTGATCAAGGTCATATTCCTTGCCGATGTTTTCCACTGTTCCAGGGAATTGATCTACTCTTCCAATGGGACATTGACGATCACTTCTGCCCTTTTCTACAGGACAGAAACCACTTAGTTTTTAATAAGTGGCTCAGTATTATAATTGCAGCAATGTCTGGCAAATTGAAGTTGCAAGCCTTTGTCTCACCCTTTCAGTCAGGACCTATTTTAGACTGTTGATAACATTTGACATTTCATGGATTAGGATGATACAAGGAGACACTTCCCAGCCCAGCAGTATACAAGCACTTATGTTGACTGGTGAAGCCAGCCAGCCATCTCAGCAGGGAAGAACATCCTTCTCAACCTGAACTGCAATCAGGGAAGCCGCAGCTCATTCCTTCCCATGGAATCTAGATAGCATCCATCCCTCTGGTGGGGGAGCTCAGGCTGACCAACTGAATAGACACTTTGTATTCAGATGGCCTCTGAGCAAGAAAGTTCCATACTGTGATATGGAAACAATAAATTCTCTGAGATACAGCCATCTAATCTGTGGTAATAATAAGAATCTCTGTGGGTTCATATTTTAGGACTTCAGCCAAGAAAAGTCCAAAAGGATATTTTGGACTCTAGGGATAAAGTGATAAAATTTTGAAGAACCTAAAATATACATTGCTGACTCTCTCTTTTTAGCTTTGACAAGTTGTGGTCTGCTTGTCTCTGTTAACAGGTCATCAGGACCATAGGTCTTGCTGTGGCTACTTTTCAGACAATATAGAGGGTCCTGGAACTGGAAACTGCCTTTCCTAAGTAGAAAACAAAACTCTTCAAAAACTTCTGTGCTGATGCACTGAAAACATCTGTAGTAATTCCTAAACAGAGTCAAACTAGAGATTTTCAAGTGTAGTCTTTTTGATGACATTTGGGGAATAGAAGAGTGTTTCAGTCTAGGAAGAAAGAGAAAGAGTAGTCTACCTATCAGGTGTTGTCATAGAGCTTGATTCTCCTCCAGTGGATGAGTACCTGGAATGGATCATTAAGATAAGAGACTAATTCACATTTATTCTAAAACCTTTTTACAAGTACTGCCAGGGAGAATTCTGAGATTGAGTCCTTGACAAAGGGCCAGTAAAGCACTATTCAAGCACACTGTCCTGGACGTAGTCCAGGTTACCTGCTATAGCTTGATGTGGATGTTGGCCTCATTCCAGCAGCATTTTGTGCTGGCTCCAGAGAGCAGACATTCTTACTCTTCCCATGGCAGCTGATTCTTTGGTGCCATTTGCATTTGTTTTTCCTTTTCTCTGTAGGCCTTGTGCAGAAAGGTTTTCACACTGCACCCATACTATAGGAATAAACTACAGTCTGGAAGAAAGTAGAGACGCTGCAGGGTCAGGAACTGGGCCACAGTTGCCAGAATGAGTTGGACCTCAGAAATCTGTTTTCCACGTGTTGAACTCTGGGATACAGAACCAAGATGATATTTTAGAAGAGTTGGCTGCCTTCTCTGGAAACAAAGAAGGAAAATCCAATAATTCTGAAGACCATTTGGGGTTGGCTTAAATACCAAGAGTAAAGAATACATCCTTGACATCACTCTAAATGCATTAGGACAGAAAAGAAAGTAAACCCTTTGAAGAGAAAATCAGAGGGGGAGGCCATAGTAAAGGTAGAAATAGAGGTATAGAGCTATGCAAAGGAAATTGGAAGTGAAATATCTTCCTAGATCTGGGAATCTACTAGTTTTTCCTGCTTTCCAGGTGTCAGAGGGCTGACTCTTTGATAAGCTCACTAGAAATTTCTGGCTCTTATGTTTCAGAAATTAGACCACCCCAGTTTTTTCAGATAACATTAAAGATGATGAGGAATTTATCTTGGGGTTAGTTTAGGAGTCTAAGATGGAGAGTTTAGAGAGAAATTCCTCAGACCTAATTTCTAGTGCTAAAGCCAATGGTGGTTCTAAAATACTATTTATTTGTGTCTATAAGTTTGTACATAGTAATACCAACCTCATTGTTACTGAATTTTTCATGGAGGGGGGCAAGTTTGACTTTTGTTTGAAATGAAATGCATCAGTTGTCATTTTGTCACTGCATTTCAGATAGCTCATGGCCCTTTTATAATGGTTATTTTTTGCACACCATAATAGCCCACAAAGTGGGAACAGGGGAGTTGACCTTTGGATTTTTTTTCCTTTATTACTAATTCTTCTACTCATTTGTCCTTGTGACTGCGGTGATGACTTCAATGATGCAGAGCGAACAGATGAATGAATAATTGGTTTGATGCATAGTTGTGTCACTTCTTGAGAGCTTTTTTTTGAGGATAATTGTAAATGTATATATTTTAATTGCACTGGTACATTGAACATGTCAGTGTCTATGCCACTGGACCAACAGCATTTTCTAGCTACAGGGTGCCTAATAATGTCTTGATTTTCCTTTGGGACTCACTATATAGGTTTTCCTCCAGCGGTAGGGGGAGTACAGGTGATCAATCATTGATGTCATTGCAATTGTTATTTTTTAAAATAAATTTATAAAAATACTAAAAAATGATTTGACTTTTGAGGAGTTTGCATCCTTGGATTATAGGTTGTGTTTATAATGTTAAAATTGTGAACTTTGTTGATAGACATTTGATCTCTGTTATCATAATCTAGTAGTGTCCAGGCTTCCTAGTTTTATCTCCTCAGTCTTCTCTCCCTTTTGGCTTTCCCACCCTGCTGAGGAATTTCTGTCACCTGTGGGTTAAACATAGATTTGGTCTTAACTATGGGAAATACTCATAAAATGTGAAGTTATTCCAGGAGCATAATTAGCCCTTTCATCATCAAAACAGCCTTCATTTATTAGGTATTTTAAGTATTTAGACCTAAAGGGTGCAAAGAGGCACTTTTTATATTTTCAGAGAGCTAAAACAAAACAAATTCTGATTGTTGAAAATCCGCAGCATGCTCATCCTATTGCTGCTTTATGGTCTAGCAATTTGAGCAACAAAGACTAGCAGCTTCCAATGTGCCATTATCACAAGAAGTCTTGGAACCAAGAGCTAGAGAAAAACAGACTTTGGGAGCTTTCTTGGGATGAGGCCATAGGCCCGTCCTGGCAGATAATGTTAAAATTGTGACCTTTAAAGATAAGGCTTCGTAGTTTTTACCTCCTCTCAATCTTCCTATAAATAAAAGAAGATGTTTTCTAAGAAAAATAAAATAAAACTTACTGAATCCTTAAATTCGGTGGTTGTCTTTGGGGAATTCAAAATCACCATGTGGAAGGTATATCAGTTTGGAGTGTAGTTTTAGAATTCTGGCTTTTTAAAATTATTTTTTTCTAAAGATTATTTTTTAATAAAATATAATTATGTGGCAAGAATTTAAAAAAATAAAGGAAAATGACAGTGTTGAATAGTTACTAAATTCAGAGTGACCCAAATTACTACTCTGATGATTTTTATCCCAGGAGCGTCTCTGATTTCAAGGAGTCCTCAGTCCTAAAACCTGCAGTCCTCACAAACCACCTCCCCGAGATCCTGGTGGAAGTTGGGAGCCTAAGCGGCGGGAAGCAGGTGGGGCGGAGTCCCAAGGAAACCTGCGCGGATTGGTTGGGGGGCGGGCCCCGCCAGGGCTACCGAAGTGGATTGGCAGCTGCTTGGAGGGAACCTGTTCACGGTAATGGCGGGCAGCCCCGCCGCCGCCCTGGCGACGGGCGAGCGGGAGGTGGCGCCGCCTCTGTGGCCTGTGGAGGCCCGGTTGGCGGCGCTGCTTCCCGACCTGCTGGTCTTCAGGAAGCCCCGGGGATCGGAACCCGAGCTCGCCACGGCCCAGGGCGTCCTCCTAGGAGTCCACGTGATGGGTGAGGGCGGGGAGCGGCGGCCGTTGGCCTGATCCCCGGGAGGCGGCCGCAGTTTCGGCCCTGGTGCCCCGGCAACCTAAGGCGCGGTTTAACTGCGCGCAGGAACCTTTGAGGGCCTTTGTTTTCCGAGCGGGAAGACACCCTTTGGGATGAACTGGTTTAGCCCCGGTTCGGAGATGACTAAATTGATACGCGGGGAAAAGGATTTCTTCAGGCCACAGGAGGCTTTGAACACAAGTTTCCCTCCAAACCCCGAGTATTTTCCAATAAGCATTCCATTTTATCCCATCAGTTAACTCAGGTATGCGCCCACGTGTTCTACTTGCTAGCAACCTAGCAGTCACTTCGAGAGTCATTCATTTAATAAATATGGAGTATATGTGTCATGGATTTGAAGATGAGAACATGAGGTGCCTGCCCTTACCATATGAGTTCTCTATCAAGTTTTAATCCTTTTCCCTTGTCAAGTGTTTTCTTGCCATCACATGGGGCGAAATTGCACACTTTCCTCTGGCCTGAGAGGGAGGGTGGGAAGAAAGAGGCAGCTGGCTTCAGATGAAAAGAGTACTTGTAGGTAAATCATCTTCGTGCAACCAGCACAGCCCTGGGTACTTTCCAATACCCAATACTGTGCTAATGGATCAAGGAATTCTTCCACTTGAAAGGATCTGATTACCTTAGGCGACACATGGAAGGAAGAGGGCTTAAAAGTTTAAACTTGCCAGCTAATATAATAACTTTTGCTTTGTTGGTCAGGGTTTACAGCATTAATGGACAGGTTCAGCCTGACGTGCAAGTCGGAACATGACATGGACAAACTGGCCCACATCTTCAGTTATTACATTAGTGACATCGTGGAGCGTGAGTGATCCTTGTAGGAAAGCAAGGAGTTGTGGTCTGGTCTCCTGAGGGTTTATAAGAAGGAACCTGGGGTACTTTAAAATAGGTACTAAAGGGTCATTCCTTAGGCATCTCTTATCTTTGTTTTTATCAGATTACTAATGATAAATTAATTCTTTGCCTCTATGTGCCATTCTATCCAGTCTCCAATCCCATTGATTGATTGCCCAGTAAAAGGAGAGGGAGGGAGAGACCTAATGTTGATTTTTATTTTGTACATTGAATTTTATTTAGAAATAAAATTCATGATATGTCTTCTAATAATGTGTCCCATTTATACATTATATATATAAGAAAATACCTTTCTACTCTGTTATGGCATTTTGATCTTGAGAAATGAATGTGTTCTCACTGTTTTCTTAGATGTGTTAAGCTTTTGGATATCTACCTACTCTTAAAAAATTCCTTATTTGTACAGCAAACATTTCAAGTACCTACTCAATGACAAGCACTGTAATTGGTTTTTGGGTGGCAGAACCCCATTCAAACTTGCCCAACAGAAATAACTCTGGTCCTGTACTGTTTACTACTTAAATAATATTCTCACTATTTACAGATAGTGCCCCATACAGTTATATCCATATTCTGAGACTCACCAGAATCATTACTATGTGACACCTTCTTTAGGAACTTTATTATGTCACTCACCTCTCACCTATGAGGAATGAGTATAGAAAGTCTCTCATCAGGTTTGAATAAAGAGGAAGATTAAAAATTATGTAGCATTCATGTATTATAATATCAGGAACAGCTGGGTGCTAGAAATACAGGGGAAAGTAAGACATAGTACCTGCCCTTGTGAAGTTCCCATGTTAGTAAGAGAGACCGATAATAAGGAAACCCAGTGATTATAGATTATACATCCTATTAAGGAAATAAATCAAGTGAAGTAAAATAAAATGGTAGGGAGTTTCTCTAAGAGATCAAGTGATCATAGGCTCCTTTGAGGAGATGACATTTAAGCTGAGACAGGAATGATGAGGGAACACTGTGAAGAGCTACCAATGAAAGCATTTCAAGCAGAAGAATGCCAAGGACAAAGAAGAAAGCATGGCATGTCCTAGGAACTGACAAAAGGCTGGTGGGACCAGAGTATAGCTAGCAGAGTAAAGAGTGGCTTAAGGTAAGGTGGTAGGAAGGCAGCTATCAGATTATCAAGCTCGGGAATTCATAATAAGAATTGGACAATTGAGGTTATTTTTATACAAAAGGGAACTGTTGAAAGGTGCTACAAGAGTAGTAATATGATCTGATTTACATTTTCAAAGCTCATTTTTGCTGCCTCATGGAGATTGGATTAAAGGGAGCTAGTGGAGAGTGAATGGTAAGAATGGAAGTTTAAAGAGACAATTAGAATAGTCATGGAAAAGCTAGTTGTAGTGGCACATGTCTATAATCCCAGCTTCTTGGAAGGCTGAGGCAGGAGGATCACAGGTTTAAGGCTACCCAGTCTAGGGTAGTGTTTTTCAACCTCAGCTACACATTAGAAGACCTGGGGAACTTTTTTAAAAATCTTGATGGCCAGGGACGTAGTTCAATAGTAGAATGCTTGCCCAGCATGCACGGAGGCCCTGGATTCCATTGCCAACTCCAGGAGAAAGTTGGGGAAGTCCTGATGGCTCCACTCTAGACCATTTAAATCAGAATCTCTGGGCTGGAGATATCCAGGAATAAGGATATTTTAAGTTTCACAAGCAGCCCCAACATGTAGTCTGGATTTAAAATTGTTGATCTAGAGATGGCAACATAGCTGCATAGGGATAGATTAACTTGAAATGTATTTTGCAAGTTCAACACATAGGAGTTGCTGATAGTTTGGATTTCAGCAGGAAGTGGTGAAAAAAAAGGACCTTTGGTTTTTTGGTTTTCATGACTGAATTGCTATGATAGTGTCACTGAGATGAGAAAAACTGACCTCTTAAGAAAATATTAAGAAACTCTTTAAGAAAAATATCCTTAGAAAAGGGTTCTGTTTTTAGTATGTTGAATTTGAGATGCCAGCAAGTCACTGAAGTGGAGAAATCATGTTAGCTATAATTGAACCTGGAGCTCAGAGGCTAGATCTCCTTTAGAGATCTACTAATGGCATAGAGATGGTACATAAAAATTGTTTGAGTTCATATGGAAAAAGTAGATACAGAAAGAGCCTTGTGAAAGAGAAGAGAAAGACTGAGACTTGAGGAACACCAGGGAGGATTATGATGAGGGAGAAAGAACCTACAAGATATAGTCTATAAAGCAGCAAGTGAGGTAGGACATTACAGTGTTCCTGAAGCCAAAGGGAAAATGGTATGCCTTAGAAGAAGGCTGTGACTAGCTGTTGAAAATGCTATGTCATCAAGTACAGTGAACTTGGAAAAATGCTGAATTTAGTTAGATGAGTGTTGTTGATGACCTGATCATTTAGGTGAGGTGGTAGAGATGAATATCATTTTGGCAAAAGCTGAGAAGAGAATAGTAGAGATATTTAAAAGAAAGACTGAATGGAAAATGAGACAAGTATATACAGTCAATTTTCTCTTTCTCTCTCTCTCTCTCTCTCTCTCTCTCTCTCTCTCTCTCTCTCTCTCTCTCTCTCTCGGTGTGTGTGAGAGAGAGAGAGAAAAAAAAGAGAGAGAGAGAAATCAGAAAACAGCCAATAGCAAAAGAATGAGACTCAAAAGAGGTAGATTATTTTTTATTTTTTTAAGATATGGATGGGAATGATCCTTAGAGAGTAGATAAGAGCAAAGTCCTTGAGAAGTCGAGAGGTGATAAGATCACACTAATTGTGGCTTTGAAGGGAATAGGAGTACTTTTTAGAGATGATATACAGAAGTACAGATCAGCCTGGCATGGTGGAGCATGCCTGTAATCCCAGCGGCTCGGGATGCAGAGACAAGAGGATCCTGAGTTCAAAGCCAGCCTCAGCAATTTAGCAAGGTGCTAAGCAACTCAGTGAGACCCTGTCTCTAATAAAACACAAAAAAAGGCTGGGGATGTAGCTCAGTGGTCGAGTACCCATGAGTTCAATCTCTGGTACCAAAATAAATAAATTAAAAAATTTTAAAAAAGAAGTAGATCTGAGGATAAGGTTCAGTCCTGAGGCTGGGAATGAATAAGTAGATGAGACAGAAGGAAAAATAAATAAAAACAGTAGGCCTTTAAAAAAATGTACTGTAATTCTGCCATGATCTGATATCCCTCTAATCTTGACTTATTTTCTCCCTTGCTTGATTTCAGATGTGCTCTGTTTTGGAGGGGATATCCTTAATATCACAGGTACTTTTTATGAATATTTAAAGGACTGTGAGTGAGGAAAACTGTGTTTAAGTGGAGTTTGGCATATTTGCTTATTCTGCATTCATTGATTATTTAATAGGTACTGAGCACTAGGGAAGTATCTCTGCCTCAAAGGATCTCCCAGTTTAAAGAAGCTTTGCCCATATTAATATTACATATGTTTTACATTCAGTTTAGATTAAATGATAGGAAAATATGTGCCTATAAAGTGTTTTTGAGAAAAATGATGAGAAATTTGGTCATTAATATAAGAAGCTAAATGTGAAATAGGGAAGACTTAAGAGTCTCCTTTCAGGAGAACTCTTAGGATCATTAACAGCTGTATGGTCCAGAGTTAGCCTGTCACCTTATTTTAAACTTAAAAAACCAGCCTTAAAATTAATTAGACTTTTAACTTGAACCTACGTGTTATGAACCAATTTGCTAGAACCTATACCCTTGTTAATATACTGGTGGAGAAAAAATTACAAAAAATATCCTTAGAACATTTTCAGTTTTTACCTAGTTGGGTTTTTGTATACTGAATCATTTTGAAGATCAAAGGCAATATTTTAACCTTGCATAATATATAGTGCTGAGAAACCTTGCCTGGCACATTGCATGATATCCACATTAGATCAAGTTGATATTCTGTATAATAGGAGGCTTTGCTATAGGACAAGTCTAGATATTTGACTCCTGTGTCTACAGGGAATGTACTCCTGGCACTCTGGACAGTGGAGAAAAATCAACTGAGTGACATCATAACCCTGGTGGCAAAATGCAGTCTAGAGATACAGGAGAAATTTGGGATCTACCACACCAGAGAAGGCCAAGATCTGCGGCTAAAGATAGGTAGTAATTCCTAAAAGAGAGCTCCAATTGGAAAAAGAAAGAACAGTCTTTTCAAAAAGTTTCAAAAGATAATTGACAAACTGAGAAAAAAAATATTTGCAATTCATATAGACAAAGGGTAAATTTCTCTAATATTGAAAGAGCACCTAGAAATTAAAATTAACATGAGAGAAAAATGGACAAGGACATGAATAAATGCTGCATAGACAAACATGTATTTAAATCTGTATAAAAGATGGTCATCTTCATTCATGATTAGAAAAATGCCAGTTGAAAATACTTTGAGATACTTTTTCTTACCTGTAGATAGACAAAAATTCAGATGCTGGAAAACACCAGTTGTCGGTGTTTATTATACTGATGAAATGAAAAATGGTCAGTATCTGTGGAGGGTGATTTGCTAATCTTCATCAAGTGTAAAGGTGCATTCTTTAACCCAGCAATTCCACTTCTGACTATTCATCTTAGAGGCATTCCAGCATATGTGAAGTGTTATATATACAAGGTTATTAATTGCAATATGGTTTGTGATAAACAATAGAAAATAGTCTAAAGGGACTGATTAAATAAGTAATATGTCTACAGTGAAATTTTCTGCAAATTTTTTAAAAATACACATTCATTACAAAAATTTTCTTGTGTCCCTCTGTACAAGGTTTCTCCCACCATTCCCTTTCCACATTCCTAAGCAATCACTGATCTTCTTTCTGTTGCTAGATATTATTTTGCTTCTTAAAAAGAATGTTGGGCTGAGAATGTGGCTCAATTGGTAACGCGCTCGCCTGGCATGCACGGGGCGCTGGGTTCGATCCTCAGCACCACATAAAAATAAAAAAAATAAATAAAGATGTTGTGTTCACCAAAAACTAAAAAATAAATATTAAAAAATTCTCTCTCTTTAAAAAATAAAATAAATAAATAAAAAGAATGTTATAGACCTATGCATGTAATTCAGCACATGTGAGACCATGGTTCAATTCCCAACACTGGAAAAAAAATGTTATATAACATATATACTTTTTGGCTATTTTCATTCAGCATAATTATCTTGAGTTTCATCAATTGTATAGCATGTTTCACTAGTTAATTCCTTTTTTGCTGCTGGGTAGTATTAGGAATTAACTAGTGATGCATGTGTGGCTATATTATACTACAGTTTGTATATCTGCTAATTTATGGATGGACACTTAAGCTGTTGTCAGTTTTTGACTGCTACAAATAAAGCTATTATGGGCATCTATGAACAATTATTTGTATAGGTATATCCTTTTATTTTTCTTGGGTAAATAAAAGTAGAAGAGGTTGGTCATATGGTATGTTTTATTTTCTAAGAAATTGTCAGTCTATTTTCCAAAGTGATTATTTCATTTTATATTTCCACCAGCAGTGTATGAAGGCTCCAGTTTTTCTGTGTTTTGTTAATACTCATTATTGTCTATTTGAAGAACTTCCTTTAGCATTTCTCATAGTGCAGATTTGCTGAACATATAGTAGTTCAACTTTTGCATGCCTAAAAAAATCTTTATTTCATATTTAATTTTGAAAGGTATTTTCACCGAACATAGACGTTCAGGTTGATGAAGTTTTCTCTCATTGAAACTTTTGTTCCACTGTTTTCTACCTTACAGATTTTGCAACAAAGAAGTCTGCTTTAATCTTTAGTGTTACTTCTTTGTACATAATTTGTCTTCTCACCACTACCCCTATGACTGTTTTCAAGATTTTCCTCTTTATCACTGGTTTTAGGTAATCTGATTATGATGTACCTTGGTATAGTTTTCTTTATTTTTAGTGCATTTGGAGCTCATGAGCTTCTTGATTCTATAGGTGTGTGTTTGTTTTCAAACTTGAAAAATATTCCCTCATTATTTCTTCAAAGAATTGTATCTGTTTCCCTACTCCTCTCTCCATTTACACACATATTAGGCTGCTTGTAATAATCTCATAGTTCAGTTCTTTTATTTTTCCCCACTCTTTTTTCTCCCTGTGTTTATTTTGGATCATTTCTATTACTAGGTCTTCATAGTAATACCTTTCCCTTTGCAGGATCTGATTTGCCTTTTATCCTATCTAGTATATTTTTCATGTTAGACCCTATAGTTTTCATACTTATATATTTGTTTTGAGAGATATGTATATCATGTCTCTACTTGTTCAATCTTTTCTCTAGGTTTTTGAGTATATGGAATATAATTATCATAAAACTTTTAATGTCCTTTTCTACTAGTTCTATTATAGGCTCAATTGGTTGATTTTTCTTCTTATTATAAGTCATATTTTCTTTTTTTGCCTGCACAGTAGTTTTTGAGATGGGTGCCAGACATGAATTTACTTTGTTTGGTGCTGGATTTTTTTAATAGTTCTAAAAGTATTCCTGAGCTTAGTTCTGGAATATGGTCAACTTAATTCTTTCAGGATTTGCTTGTCAACTTTGTTAGGTGAGACCAGAGAATGTTTTGACTAAGGCTAGTTTTACCCCATTCCTGAGGCAGACGTTTTCTTAATACCATCCCTGATGTCCTGTGAATTAAATTTGATACGTGGCTAGTGATAATAAGTACTATTCCCATCATTGTGTGATAGCAAAGATTATTTTTCTAATCTTTTTATGTAGTTTTTTTCCTCAGCATCAGACATGTTTCTCATATTCATGTACATATCAGTATTCAGCTAAAGACTTAGAAGGGACCTAGTGCAGATATGTAGGATTCTCCCTCTGTACATGATTTACTGCTCCAATACTCCTGTCAGTGCTCTGTGAACTCTAGTATCTAGGCTTTCTCATGTTCCCAGCTCTGACTTCTCAACTTGGAGTCTTCTTCACTGTACCTAGGTTTCTCTCCTTCCTGAGATGTGTTTTGGAAACTCTTCAAAACTAAACTAGAAAAACAGCTTATTTCCTGTCTCTCGGGGTTCACTGTTCTTTATTACCTGAATCCAGTTTTTTGAAAACCATTGTTTCATATATTCTTTCCAGTCCTTTAGTTGTTTCAAGTATTAGGAAATATTCTGTCTTGGCTGAAAATATAAATCTTTGCCATTCTTTAAAAAATTTTTCCTGTTTTTATTTGTTTATTTGGGGCAGTGTCTAACTAAGTTGCTGAGGCTGGCCTCAAACTTGCAATCCTGCCTCAGCTTCCTGAGCTGCTGTGATTATAGGCATTTGCCATTGTACTTGACTTTCCCTATTTTTTTTTTTTTTGCTTTGAGCTCAGATTAAGTGACTTAGCTAGGGATAGACTTCTATTGGTTTTATATATATATATATATATTTTTTTTATTTTATATATATATATATATAAATTTATATATATATATATTTTTTTTCTTGATAAGCAAACCAAAAATTTCTGCTGTATTAGCAGTAAGAAATCCCTCAGGGTCAGAAAAATGGAAGTAGAACAAAAGGACCCATGTCTGGTGCAATAAGTGATTGCCTAGTCACTCAGTCCTGGTAACACTGAGGAGGGACAGTAGCAGTTTCTTAGTATAACCATATGCTCTCCTCCCTCAGTACTCTGCTATCAGACCTAGCTGTAAATTAGAATAGTAATTTTGAGAGCAATTTAGATAAGATTTCTTACTTCTTCCCCCCATTGCAACCCAGGTATATTTGAATTTCAACCTCTAGGTCTATATAAGTGAAAAGGAAATCTGGGACAAGGTGTTATTTTTAAAGGTGAGCTCACCTAAGACTTTGCAACTAATGACAATAACAAGATTGGCATGATACATAAAGCCATGTTGGGATTCTAGACCCCTCCCTTTGTATAGTTTTTCAGTTGAGTTTGGCTATTCTCTGCTTCTCTGTTTTCTTTTTTTTTCCTCTGGATAGGTCTATCTGCAGGTCGGATATCCCAAGTTATTGTTGGAGATGAGCAACGGCAATACCTCTTGGTGATTGGGCGTGATGTAGATGGTGTCCAGTTAGCTCAGCGTTTGGCTCAGGCAAATGAGATTGTCCTGTCCTGGAACTGCTGGAAGCTCTGTGAGCAGTACATGTTTGAAGTGGAAATCATGAGGGAGGATGAAGCTGTGAAGGTAGGAAGCTGGTTCTGTCCATAGCACATCCTGAAAAACTTCCCACTACATAGGGCTGTGCTCTGGTGGTGTTCACATATTATGTGAACAAACCAGTAACCACTGGAACTCAAATTTGGAGGGAGGCCAGGGATATTCTCCCACAAAAGAGATAAGGCAGAATAGTAAGGCTGGGGAGATTCAAGATAAATAAGGGAGTTAGAGTCCTCAGCCCCTCTGTTAAGGGATCAGTGGTAATCAAGTTGGTGTATGAACACAGAATTGAGCAGTTTTCCTTTCTCTAGTTAAGAGATATGCGGATCATTAACCCATTTGATTTTGATGAGCATTTTGAGAAGTGCCTTGATTATCTTCCACATTACCGTACAAGTGTTGGTAAGTTACGTGTCCTTTCTACCTAACTCTGAAATTTTAAAGATTAATTTTCCATATGGTTGGAGACATTTTGTTTTTCTTTTGTTAGACACACTAAGAACTGCCCTGGAATTGGATCCAGACTCTGCACTTGAGCGAACACTGCGGAAATACATAATGAAAAACCTTTTGAAGAAGGTTATTTCCTACTTCTTGAATCATTACACAGACTGTGTGTGTTTGTGTAAATAAGTGTACATTAAATGAGATAATGTTTTAATATTGATCTAGTTCATCTCCTATGCCCCACTCTAATCTCAGCAGATGTTATCATCTGCACCAATATAATTACTGTATGAATGTGTCTTTTAGTTGGCTTTCTCGGTCCTAGAAAGTAGAAGCCACATTTGTTCTTGTTTGTCCTTGAAGCATTTATTACACTGTAAGCAGGATTTAGAAAACATGATTGGTAAATTTGTGTTGTTTGATTGTGTATGTATGAATATGAACATTTGATAAATACAATGATTAGCACAGTTAGGCATATCAAAATAACTCTTAGAAAATATAAAATTCTGGCAGTTTCATCAGGGAATTAGGTTTAAAGTCAAATAATTTAATTCTAAGCATACTGGTTTATACTTTTTCTGTACCTCTCAAACCTGAAGTTTTAGATCTCGCTTGGCACCCATAAGTTATTTACTTATATTTAGCATGAAATGGATAATTACAATGCCTGAACATGTTACTGAGAGTTGAAGACATAGGTAAAGTAACTCTCTGTGTCTTGTAGATTGATGAAGGCCAACCTATGGAGTATGTATCTGAATTCCGTACAGTGACTATGGTTTTGGTGAATCTTGAGTTCCATAAGACAGTGTGGATGTTGCATTTGTGTCATCTTATCCAGGAGGCTGCCTTATATATCTCTACAGTCATTGAGAAAGGTGGTGGCCAGTTAAGCCGGATCTTTATGTTTGAGAAAGTAAGTATTAAAGGTGAGTGAGAAATAATACATCTTGTATGATCTGTTTGTCACCCATGTAACACAAGTATAAATCAGATTTCCTGCTGCTTATTTTGTATGCCTCTATATAACATTAAAACTTCAAGTAATGTAAGTTAAGAAATGCCATGTTATAGTTAGTTTAATTTTCAGGGTTACTGAAGATTTTATTCAGTTCTTGTTGAAAAAGCCTTGTGAAAGCATTAGGAGTGCTTTACTGGATCTAATAACAAAGTAAATAATCATATTTTTCTCAACCAATTGAGCTTGAAAAAGAGCAACATCTTAATACTTGACATTATAGGCAAAGAAAATGTGGGCAGATAGTCTTAACACTAGAAATTGCATGGTTTTTATTTGTTTGTTTGTTTGTTTGTTTGTTTTGAGACAGGTTCTTGCTTTGTTGTCCAGCCTGGCCTCAAACTTGGGTTCCTTTCAATCCTTTCAAATAGCTAGTACCCTAAACATGCACTACTGTACCTGGCTTGAATGGTTCTTTTTTTTGGGTGGGGAGGAATTACTAGGGATTGAACTCCAGGGCACTCAACCAACTGAGCCACATTCCCAGCCCTTTTTTGTATTTTATTTAGAGACAGGGTCTCACTGAGTTGCTTAGGGCCTCACTAAATTGCTGAGGCTAGCTTTGAACTCAGGATCCTCCTGCCTCAGCCTCTGAAGGATGTGCCACTGCACCCAGCTTGAATGGTTCTTGATACCACCTTTTCTTGTGTTTTAAATTCCTATTTTTGAAGTAGTTCATTAAATCAAGATTTTTTTTTTCTTCATGAAACGGGATAGAACCCAGGACCTCATGCATGTTACACAAATGCTCATACCACTGAGCCACACCTCCAGCCAAGATTTTTTTTCCTGGTTTTGTAGCCCAGAGTACCCACTTCACAAATCATATAGAATACTCTATTCCCTGTAGCAAACCAGTAACGTAGTTGAGGCAAGTCATATTGCTTCATCAGATAAACTGTTCTTCCTCTGTCATCTATCCCAGGGCTGCATGTTCCTCTGTGTTTTCGGCCTTCCTGGAGATAAGAAGCCAGATGAATGTGCACATGCCCTGGAGAGCTCCTTCAGCATCTTCAGCTTCTGCTGGGAGAATCTTGCTGAGACCAAGTGAGGATTGGAAAGTGGGGCAGAGAGGAGCTTCTCAGGCCCCAGGGGGCTCTTCAGGCAGGGTAGGAGGCAGTAACAAGTAGCAGGGGTTGAGGGTATTCAGAATCTGCCTGATGGGGAGGGAACTTGCTAAGGAAAGTCAGCAAACAAGATATTCAGAAATTATTAGATACAGAATTCTATACTGGATACCCAGGGGTGGGGAATATAGGTTTCCATTTAGTGAAGCAGGAAAGGTAGAGGAACAGAATATACATGACAGAATTCAAGAAAATTATAAAGGAATAAGCAAATAGGGAAATTTATATAGTGCAAATAACATAGCTGTATATGGAAAGGATGAAAACAAAGCTACCTATTTATAAGCGGGAAGATGAGGGAAGTTGTAGGATGATTATTACCTAGAGAGGAGGGGACCACAACTAGTTAACACTTGTGTTTTTGGCTCTCACTCTTGGTCTTTCCCAGATCCCATTGCTTTTTCTAGACTTCACACTGAACTGATATCCTGCCTTCATATTCACTCCCACTCCACCCACACCACCTTCTACAAAACCTAATACTAATGAAGGCATAGAAAGTGCCCTTGTTGCATTATGACAAAGTTAGTTGGAATTTCCCAAGTGACCTTTTTTTTTTTTTCAATAGAAAGCCTTAGGAAAAGTATGAATGAATGATTTGAAAAACAGTTGTTTCCAGTGTTAATATTGAGTCAAAGATTAATTTAGTTGCTATAACTTATTCAAGATTAATGAAGCCGGGCATAGTGGCTCACACCTGTAATCCCTTTGTCTCTGGGAACTGAGGCAGGAGGATCACAGAGTTCAAAGACAACCTCAGCAACGTAGTGAGGCCCTAAGCAACTCAGTGAGACTCTGACTCTAAATAAAATACAAAAAAGGGCTGGAGATGTGGCTCAGTGATTGAGTGCCCTTGAGTTCAATCTCCAGTACAACCCCTCCCCAAAAAAAGAATGAACAAAAAATTTTATCACACATGTATATAGCATTTGAGCATTTATAGATTACTTAAGGTATATTCTACCAGTGTGAAAATTTATATCCCTCTTTTAGACATGAAGAAACTAAGACTGTATAAGAGAATTTACCACCATATAGCAGAGCTAGAAATGAAACCCTGATCTTTGGTTTTCAAATCCTATGTTGTTTATTATTCCACAGCTGATTCTTACAATGTGCAAAGGTTACCCCCAAAGGATTACATATATTATTAATATAATTGTAGATACATAGAATGTTAGTAATGAAAAGGAATTTAAAAATTATCTGCTCTAACTCCTGATTTTACAGAAAAGAAAGATGCTACAGTTTCTTAATACATACTCAAATTCTCAGCCCAAGGCAAATATATGTTGTCACTTCTTTCAATTTGGGTGGGATCTGCAGAGACTCTCATAGCCTACCTACCACTTTTATGCAGGGCCTCCCCTTCTAGTACTGATCTTTTTGGTTCTTGAATATTACTTTGACCTGTGGCCTTCAATGGTGCTACCCTTGAGTGAGATACTCATTTCTCTGGCCTGTAGAGGCTGTCTTACAATGCCCTAAAGATACATTCTGTGACTCTTAGGCCATAACCTTGTCATTTTGGTCTTATTTAGTTTATAATATAATAGAAGTTAAGAACTAGATGGAATATTAGAGTCATCTAATCTGATCTTCTTAACCTAAGGAAACTAAGATCCGGAGAGATTATGTTGTTAAGACAAATAGTGTGACAATCTCACAACCTGAAAGCTAGATTTCAAGGTCATTATTTTTTTCCTTGAAGACAAATTACGAATTCAGCATTTCCCTAAGTATGTTCAGTAGAACTCTAGTGCCTTATCATACTAATGGGTAGTGAAACAAACTCTATTTTCTTCCTAGAGATTCACAGTATACATTTATACATAAAAGGGTCTGGGTAGTCTTATGATGAAGAAAATTAATATATTTAGTTTTACTCACAATTTTCTAAATGTACTTGATCATTAAACTCTTTTCTCTAAAAGGACCTATAAATATCCAGAATGACTAGTGTTCTGGAATATATTTTGGGAAATGCCACACTAATCAAATACTGAAGCTTCAGCAGTACTTTTGGAGCCTCAGTAACAAATGTCATTGTTCATGTCTGTCTGCATCACATCAATTCTCACTCAGACCCTAAACTGCATTCCATGTCTCCTGTTCACCTTGAGTCATCTTGTAAGTTCCTCTTTCTAATCTGAAAAATACCTTTAGTTTCCAGCTCCTTTAAAGAAAAGATGATTCCCTGAGCATGTCTCCAGGATATTTTGGAGACTTAGGGAGTGATCAGGATAGTGTTTAGTACCATAAATACTTCATGTATAATTGCATATGTCAAATAGAGAATATATTCTTCCTCAATAGAGAATGTTTTTAAAATAAAAAAATGAATATGGACTGTCAGGAAGAACAGGGGGTAGTAATAGAATACAATAAAAAGAAGAAACAACCAAGTGAGAAAAGTACAGTGCGTCTTATCTTGTTAGTGATCCAGTGCTTGAGTTTCTCACGTGCATAAATGCATTCATTAAGTATTCTTATGCCTTGGATATAAGAACAATAAGAGACCACCTCCTCCTCATCCAGGTAAACAACTTTCTTGTAGTACAGTGAAATTTAAATGCAGGAATAAAATTCTCTGGGAGCTAAAGCAAGATGCTTTAGGAAGAGATAATTCATTATCCCCAGAGATATCAAAGAAGTCTTGATATCTTTGATATCTCTGGGGATATCTGTGCTGGGTAGAAAAAGAAAGGAGTTTGGCAGGTGGAGAAAGTGGGAAATGTCATTTTAGCCTGAGGAAGCATCTTAAACCAGTAGAAAATTTTGAGTCTTGCTGTTGGGGTGATGATAGAATCGAATACCTGGTTCTTGTCTTGTGCACTTCTTTTATTCACCATAGACATTGGGTACAGCAAATGAATGGTGAGAGCCCTCAATCCTGTCCTTAGGAAGCCAAGAGAATTTGGTTGGTATAGGAGACAGTCATGTTAACATGATCACTACTTTTCACGTTCTCTCTGAACCACTGAAAATTGTTTGTTTATACATTAACTTGAGCCTAATTATGCCTCATTGCTCCTTCTTTCTCCATCCACATATCTGTGACCTGTCATGTCAATCAAGTAAATCTGCCCATTCTCTATTATACTCTCTTTTTAAGTAATCCGTATTATGCATGTTTTCCCATCTCTCATCTATGTAAGATCACTTCTCAATAAAAAAAAAAAAAAGATCACTTCTCCCTTCACCTCTCCCTACTCCAAACACCATCGGTGCTCTAGCCATCTTGAAGTACTTAGTTTTGCATAACTACACCAGGCTTCCAAAGCCTGTGCCTTTTTCTACTGGAAAGAATGCTGTTTCTCTGTTTCGACAGTGTTTTCAACTTTCAAGGTCTGACTAATGTCCTCTCCCTTATGAATACTCTTTCTGTACAAGTTAGTGCTTGTTGAATAATTTTATGCGTGTGTGACTGAATGAAAAAGTTGCTCATTGAAAAAGTATATTCCAAAGATCAGTTTGCTTCAGAATTCTTCCACCAGCAGTCCTGACATTCTCATTATTCATTACTCTGACATTGCATTATTTGATTCAACTCTGTATTGCCATCTGTTGCTGTACTTTTCATTTTTTGGGTTTTATCTAAGGGCAGCATGGAATAGCAAAAATAACACTGATCTAGGGATCTGGAAATCTAGATTCTCATTCTGACTTTTGCTGTATAACTCTTGGAAAGTTAACTTAACCCCTTTAGTTTTTTCCTCTTTTCTCAAAGCCTATTAAAATATTTGCCTTGACTGTCATACAAGTTTGTTGTTAATTATATCTCAAAGGACCAGATGAGGCAATCAATTTGAAAGTATCTCAAAAAGCATATATAAATCATCTGATAGATAAAAGTGGTTTTAAAAAATTTTTTTACCAATAATAACTCCCCAAATAAAACTCCTAAAAGAGGGAGACCATTCTGTAGGTTTTGTTGTTTTCTTGTTAAGTTCTTCATATTCATCATGTGATGCAGATTGGCATTAGCCACTGACCTTTTTTCATTCTGAACTCTAAAACTAGACTTCTAGATCTAGAGAGTGGCAGATCTTGTGCCTGAATTTGGAGGCTTTTGACTATATATTTACTCAGTTGTTACTTTTCTGATCCCCAGGCTTGTTTCCATCAGTATCACCAATGGACCAGTATTCTGTGGCCTGGTTGGGGCAGTAGCAAGACATGAATATACAGGTAGAATAGATTGGATTATTAGCTCTATGACTTAAGGGATGAAGATGGAAGAGGTGGTCCAAAAATTTTCCACCCTTTACTGTCTTTCTAACACAGTTATTGGCCCTAAAGTGAGCCTTGTGGCCAGAATGATAGCTGCTTATCCAGGCTTGGTATCCTGTGATGAGGTAACATATTTAAGGTCCATGCTTCCTGCTTACAACTTTAAGAAACTGCCAGAGAAAATAATGAAAAACATCTCCAACCCAGGGAGGATGTATGAATATCTTGGCCATAGAAGATGTATGTGAGTATTATTGGTGAGAGTTTATTCTCAACTCTTGCAGAATAGAGGCATGAGAATGGTAAATTTTCAGTTGTATGAAATTTAGTAATACTAGTACTTCCCTGTTGGAATAAGACACATAAAAGGAGGCTTTCTCATCTTGAGATTTTTAGCTTGTCTGTTTAGCTCTTAGCTACTTCTTTGGGGAATTTCTTTCTCTCCAACAGGAAGAAAATAGCAGTAAATCACTAATCTAGGTTTTTTTTTTTTTTTTTGTGTGTGTGTGTGTGTGTGTGCATGCATGTACTTCACAATTTACTTACCTCTCTGAGCCTACAGTAATCAATACTACTTTCCCTTTCTCACTCCCTAACAATTTTTAGTTCTTTTACACAGATCTCTGTACCTCTTCAGTTATTTGAAGTACTTGCTTAGGAAGACAAGAGTTCTTGATGCTATTTTTAATAAAACATTTCTCTTTTTTGCAGAATGTTTGGGAAAAGACATTTGGCCAGAACGAGAAATGAAAATCGCCCTTTGTTAGGTGAGTTTTCTAACTTAGATCATATTTGTTTCAGCTGTAGATGGCTAGACATGATTTTAAAAATAAAATGGAATGCAAACTAAATGATTTTAAGTTTTTTAAAAATAGAGAGCAGCCTTCTTAGTGAATTTATATTTGTTTTGAAGAGGATCTGTCATTTCTTTTTCATATTGAATATTCAGATTTCAGGTCAAGTTCTACCACTTTGCTTGAGAAGTACCAACATTTAGTTAGAATCTGTAAGTTAGGGTTTTGCTACTGGGGTCTATTTTGCCACCTGCATTATATAGTCCCTATTTTTATTTTAATCTACATTTATTTATTCATTATCTTTACCTAACAGTTTCAGACCTTGAAGACTAAATTGTTGTTATGGAAATTTTTATAACAAACTAAGAAAATAATAGTAGCCCCATATCCATATGGTGCCTGGTTGTTCTGAATGTTATTGCTTAGGCTCCGCAACAAACCCTGAATCTATCCAGTTCCTGAGCACATACTTCTGTTTGTCTCAAGTTGATTTTCTAGACCTAGATATGAAATTCCATCAAAGAATGGGATTCTGGATTCTGCCAGGGATTCTGGGACAGGGAGGTGATAGAGCTTTTAAGAGAGCTAGCTTTGAAAATCAATTCAAATAGTCTCTACTATAAAGCACAGAGTGCTTCTTGTCTCTTTGCAGACAGGGAAAAGGAATTGGAGGCCTTCAGATTGGCACAGCAGTCATGTTTGCAACAGAAGAAGGGTCAGGCAGTTCTGTATGAAGGTGGAAAAGGCTATGGAAAAAGCCAGATTTTAGCTGAAATAAACTTCTTGGCCCAGAAAAAAAGGCAAAGGTAAAGACACCTGCTTTCTGACTCAAAACCTACTTTTGGGGGGCTTCTTTACCTTATTAGTACAACTATATGTCATTAGATTCAGCATCCTTGGACTGGTGGAATGAGTAATCTCTGTGTGGGTCTGGGGTCTCCCAGTGACCATGCTAATATTCACCAGGGTGTTGCCATTGAAACTGAAGGAAGCAGATTCCCAGCAGTGCTTCTATGTTATCCAGACCCTCATGGCCATCTTCTTTGAGATTGATACATGCCCAGCCTATTATCGGCAAGAGTGCCTGCACAGACAGCTCCATGGAATGGTGGATGAACCACTTCATTGCCTTTTTAATGACCTCTTCTTTGTGAAGGTAACAAAGACTTTGACTTTCTGAATTTGGGTTACTATTATTCTTTCTGGATAGTCAGATCCACTGTTGTCTTTAAACGTAATTAATACACTTAGGCCATATATATAAGAACACATAGTCTTGGGAGGATCAAGATTTGGATTCACCAAAACCCAGGGTTTTTTTTTTTTTCATTAGAGTGGATTCTAAGACTAACTCTGATACTTGCTAATTATATGGCCTAGAGCAAATCACTTAGCCTCTCTGAGCCACAATTTTTTCATCTGTAAATGATTTACATACTTTATATGATTTTAGATAAATTTTAAAGAAGATAGTGTATAAGAGATTGTATTATAAATTTTAAACAGCTACATGTGTTAAGGTGATCCTGACCCTAGAAATTATATTCATGTGTTCTTAAGTCAGTTGTGGTTTTTTATTCCTTAAAGCTGCTTTCCTATTCCCTAGCCATGGAGTATATCCCTTGAGCCAGCATCTAAGTCTCAAAATCTTCCAGTGGTCTAGGGTTTATGTGGTACCCAACAGCCAGCAAACTAAAGATACCCTGTTCATTCTCCATCACTTCTAACTTCTAATCTACCTCCAAAGAAAGTATTTGATATAAAGTAGAGAATACTAAAATCTATCCAGTTCCTCAGTATAGCCCTCTATTAAGTTTTGTCTGAGCTCTAACCCTTGTTCATATGGTCAAGCAGGAATCTCACTTTGGCTAACAGATCCATGGTAGCTTATGTGCCTTAACCTAGCACAGTAAAAAAAATGTTAGGTGATATCCATTGCATCTCTTTCTGACAAGTTGCATGTAGAGATTCATCCTGGTATATTTGGTGTAACTTGTATACTGGAGCTGCCCAAAGTAGCATTACTAAGTACAACCTGTCATTTATTCCTTAGTTAAAGCCTTTAATAATTTTCTAGACTCTGGTATACAAAAAGAGATGTAAGTATCTGTCTTTAACCCTCAATGAACTTTCAATATTACACTTTGAGCTACACATTAATATTGGATTGGATCTTGTCTCTCTATGCTCAATCTCACAGAAACCTACTCTTCATTAAAATAGAATTGTTTTCTGTTCCTTTGGAGAATATGCATATTTTTATTAGGTTGCCATTTTAAATGCTAATACATAATATTTCTTTTTGATCAGTTTCCATTGTCCTTCAAAGTTTCACACATGGATGACCTGGCCAGACAAAAAAAGATTAAAGAATGTTTTATTGAAGTGCTTCAGGAAGTGGGTACTTTTGCTACATACCATTTATTCTTAATAGTTGGAGATGGTTTATGTTTAACCAGTTTGCATCATACATTGTTCTAGGCTTTTCTTGGCCTTCCATTTGTTGATATCTTCAGTGTTTGTGTCTATCTGCAAACATGTATTCATTCTACAGCATGGCATGGTACACAAAAGAGTTTTGGCTCTTTCTTGGTCCTGTTTCTTAATGAAATTTTAGTAATTTGATGTAAAACAATGGCTTACAGTGCAGGTGAATAGCTATTTTACCTATTATTTATTAAAAGCACATATACCTAGACTCTACCTCAGAATTACAGAATCAAAAATCTATATGAAAAGAAAATGATGTGACCATTCTGGAAAGCAATCTAAAAGTAACAATTCAAATTTTAATAGCATGTATCCTCTAAATCTAGGAACTCCCAAGGAACATGTCCATTGTGTTTATTTGTGGAGGCCAGAGAGATACTGGCATGAATATGCGGATGAACACAGTGAAGTAAATGTTAAAGTTAGAACTAAGGGAATAAGATGAAAACTTAACAATGTGGAGTGATATAAAAACAATTCTGAGGGCTGGGGTTGTGGCTCAATGGTAGAGTGCTTGCCTAGCATTTGTGAGACACTGGGTTTGATTCTCAGCACTGTGTTTAAATAAATAAATTAAATAAAGGTCCATCAACAACTAATAATAATATTAAAAAAAAAATAGTCTGAAGCCAGAGGATGTAGCTCAGTGGTAGAAGGCTTGCATAGCACCACAAAAATAAAAACAGTCCTGAATAAAAAAAAAAGAGGAAGAAATAATGATATCTGTAATACAGTAGTATTTATATAAAAACAATGTATTTGGCAAAACAACAATGCATATTTTAAAAGAACAAAATGCAAACAAAAATCTATAGGATAAACACATTAGAGTGATCACCTGACACCATGGGAAGCAGAGCCGGAGTGGGGATAAAAATGGATACAATTTTTTCAGAGTGTTCAGTAAGTGGGGCCTGGTAATGAGAGTGTTGACAAGCACTGCCAGGAGATTCTAATGTGCAGCCGGGTTTGAAAGTTGCCATTTTAAAATGTTATAAATTCTCATACAGTAAAGTCTTTGTCAAAATGAAATATTTGAAAGCTTCAAGTTTGAGTTAGAGAATATTTTGATACTTATTTTTAGTCAGAGCATTTTCTTGTTCACTTATTTTGTCCATACATTTTTTATTTAGGAATTAGATATGTAGGTTATATTTTATATTTAGAAAGTAAAATGTTACCTGGACTTAAAATACATTTTACTCTGAAAATTCCATCCTGTTTGACATTTTGTTTAAATTGTTGATGGAAAATTTGCAGTAGATCTTTATTTCTAATCAGAGGTTATTATTATTTCTTTGCTGTTATTTCCAGGCAGTGAGGGAAACACCACTGATTTTCCTCATTGACGAGGCCCAGTATATGGATGCAGCTTCCTGGGAGTTTTTGGGAACATTGCTCTCCAGTGTGCCCATCATCATGGTGATGACGTTGACCCCTCCTGTCACCCTGTGTGGCTGGGCCCAGCACTTCCTACAGAGTCCTCAGGCTATCCTTGTGCCCATTTCAAAGTTGGCAGCAACCTCGCTGTTGAGAATGGCATGTTGGGAACTAGGGGTGGTGAGCATCCCCCAAGAGCTGCAGATGTGAGTGGCTAGGATCAGCTGGACACTTCATTAAGGGAGGAGCCAGTGCCATAATATAAAAGAGAAGGCTCAGGGCTCAACAGAGCTGGGGGAGAGAGTGGCATTAGTAAGCATGATGAAGCCCAAGATGAGATTTCAGTCTCCTTGTAAACTATGAAGGGGCTACCTCCCCGGCTGCCCACGCAAGTTTTAACAAGACAGTTAGGATTTGGATGGCTTGCTTATAGTGTCAGTTATATACAATCAGGCCAGTTTCTGCCAAGTCTTTTAGCAAGGAGATGTTAGTTCCTTTTAACATCAGTAGAAGCAAAATAGTTAAGAAAAAAAAAGTTACTGCCAAAATATATTTCAAAGCCAATCAGAAATTGTTTTTCTTGCTGGGAATGGTGGTGCACACCTGTAACCCCAGCGACTCGGGAGGCTGAGGCAGGAGGATTACAAGTTCAAAGTCAGCCTCAGCAACTTAGCAAGGCTCTAAGCAACTTAGTGAGACCCTGTCTCTGAATAAAATATTTTTAAAAGGCTGGGGATGTGGTTCAGTGATTAAGTGCCCCTGAGTTAAAATCGCGGTGCACCCCCCCAAAAAAAAACAACCCAAGAAATTGGTTTTTTCCTACGTTTCTCCCTGCTTCTGCTTCCCTCTGTTAGTGTATATACATCAAGATCTGACTTTAACAAAAGAAGATCCCTCAGTATGCAGTACCCTTAATATTTGGCTCCCCTCAAGTGGTCATCTTTAGTCAGCAATCACCTACTTACTTTCTGCAGCTACCTTCTGCTCAGGTGCTTTGGAAACCCCCTGTATTGTGAGATCCTATGCCAGGACCTTCTCTCTAAGGACATATTGCTTTTTCATGACCTAGAAAAGGAAGAGGAAGAGAACAGCAAGTGGGAAACCCTCTCAGGTAAGTTTAGCCTTGCAACCACTGATGTTTGATCTCCATCATGGCATTACCTAGTCTTTATGAAGCTTGTGGTCATTCCCTGTTGACATTGTGGGCCAGATTAAGCCTAGCTAAGTACAGTGTACAAATACTGTGAAACTAGGGTGAAAACACTAAATCGCTGCCTCAGATAACTTAATTCAGTCAACCAATCTGCAATAGTTTTATTTTGAGTAGCCTAGGAGATCAGGTAGGAAATAGGGTTTTTAACGATGAGAGTCCAGAACAGAGAATTGTATATTAATGATGAGAAGGACTTGAGGATTTGGATGGGGGGATGGGAGAAGGAAGGAGGATGGGCTAGGAGGAAAGGGTAGAATTACATGTATATCCAGAAAGGCATCCTAGAGCTGTGATATCATGGAAACAGGGCTATTATAAAGTAAGCAGGAATAATGAACAGTGGTGAAATATAATATGGTACGAAGGATGCTATTAGTTTATAAGAGAAAATTAAAGAACAAGCAGGATGGGTTGGTGTGAAGCATGTTAAACCATAGTGTTGGGCTGGGGATGTGGCTCAAGCAGTAGCGCACTTGCCTGGCATGCGCGCAGCCCGGGTTCGATCCTCAGCACCATCTACAAACAAAGATATTGTGTCTGCCAAAAACTAAAAAATAAATATTAAAGAAATTCTCTCTCTCTCTCTCTCTCTCTCTCTCTCTCTCTCTCTCTCTCTTTCTCTTTTAAAACAAAACAAAACAAAAAAAAACATAGTGTTTTTCATTCATCTTCATCCTGAAGTCTCTTGACTTAATCTTGCATTTCTGTGCCTTTAAAACTAGTCACTGAGCTTGGTGTTTTCCTCAGTCATGGTCCTTTTTTTGCCCCTACAGCCAATGCCATAAAATCTACAATGTATAGTATTTCTCCTGCCAGCTCCAAAGAAGATCAGGAACTTTATGTCTGCACAGTCAAAGATGATGTAAACTTGGATACAGTGCTTCTCCCACCACTGTTAAAAGGCAAGTTCTTTGAATACCACCAGTGAACCAATTACAGGTGTCACTGCAATTAGTAATTGGGTGAGTAAATGAATACAAGTCTCTCATTATCATTCGGGTTTCATTTTATTCTAAACAGGAAACTTGTCTTCCAGAAATAAGTTCTAGCATGGCCTGAAGAGCCTTTTGAAGACATGAATAATGTTTACTTAAATGGCCTTTTGCTTTCTTTTGATGATCTGGAAACTTTTTCAGTTTATTAATAAAAATTAGGTCCTGAGTTTCCCTTTGTGAAAATTCCTGTGCCAAAGGAGGCAATAAGCAAGGGAGATGATGTTGCTGAGATTTAAGAAAATCTATGATGCTGATAATGTTATGTATATAGCAAGAGTTTAATAAAAAAGAATACAAAGTATGTTTATTTTGACCGATAAGGAACAAAGAATTTGGCAGGCATAGTTGGAGAGGAGACGTTCTTTGAGATTAATTATGGTTTTTTTGTTTTTAACTTTTTTTATTAATTTTTATTTATATATGACAGCAGAGTTCATTACAATTCTTATTACACAATTTTTCATAAGTCTTGTTGTGTACAAAGTATATTCATACCAATTTATGTCTTCATATACTTACTTTGGATATTCATGTCCATCACATTCCACCATCATTTCTAACCCCATGTCCCCTCTCTTCTTCTCCCACCCCTCTGCCCTATCTAGAGTTCATCTATTCCTCCCATGCTCCCCCTCCCCACCCCACTATGAATCAGCCTCCTTATATCAGAGAACACCTTCGGCATTTGGTTTTTGGGGATTGGCTAACTTCACTTAGCCTTATCTTCTCTAACTCTATCCATTTACCTGAAAATGCCATGATTTTATTCTCTTTATTATGTTTTGTTTTTCAAATGTTCTATTCAAGTGTTTGGTGGGGGAGATACTATATTAAGCCCTCTTAAGGAATATTATGATAAATATAGTTCAAGTAAAATATCATCTTGTTGAGAAAAATAAGACATGTACATGAAACCACCCTAAAGACACGCTAGTCAATTGCTGGGACTCTGGAATCAGAAAAATGAGGACACTTTTGGCCCCTCCACTTACTGGCTGGAGGCCTTTGATAAGTTAGCTGTAGTCTTCTCATCAGTCAAAAGAGGATAACAATAAACCCTATGTCATGGGTTCTGTTGAGGATTTAGCAAAATAAATAATGTCACATAATATTCTGTTAATGTATGACACCATAGTTCTTCGTCCTGGAGATTTTGGGTTCAACTAGACAGTTTTTGCTCTAACCATGACAGGCCAAACTTGGCATTGGCTCTAGTTAGAAGTAAATGCAGCATGCTGGCAGGACAGTAGCAGGTGGTTTTCTTCAGTGGGAGTCCTTACAACAATTTACCTGGCAACCCAGGGACTATTCTCTGGAGCCTCAAGGAATCATACTCGCAGTGTCAGGAATGAGACCCATGAAGCTTGGATGCTTAGAAACCCCAAGTCCCAGATAAGGACTTGGCCCTGCAAGGATCATGATCTATTACAAGAATTATTACACTCAAGGAAGCCCCAAACTGTATCTCACAATCAGCTCATTCACATTTCCCCGGTCCAAATTCAAAGGTCATTCTTAGCATAAGCCATGTTGCCTGGTAACATTGCTCACGTTCTAATTTTATTGGGATCCCAAGAAACAGCTAGAAAATTAACCCAAAGCCAACATTGTCAGGGAAAGAAAAGAGGTTGTAAACTGCAAGCTAAAATGAATAGGTCAGCAAAGCCTTGGTCTAAAAGAAAAGCCAAAGCTAGATTGTGAAAGATCACACTGAGTTTTAAAGGTATTTGAGAGGGAGACTGACTTGATCATATTGTGTTTTTAAGATATCTAATTTTGCCACTAGTTAATAATATATTGTTGGGATGAGAATAAAAAGAAATTGGAGATGTGCAAAACAGGATTTACAGTGATTCAGGTGAAAATTGCTTGCTAGTCATTTAAAATTGTTTAGTATGAAATATATCCAGGAGACATTTAGAAAGAGGATTGATGGATGACCAGTAGGTTGTGAAGAAAAAGAACAAAGTTTAGGATGATTTCAAGTTTTTGAACTTGATGACTTATTTAATACCAACCACTTTAATGTTTAGGTCAGAATATGGAGAGATTTAATGAAATCCTTGGAGTTTATTAAGATCTTTACAGTTATTAGAGATCTAGGACCAGGAAATCTGCCTTGAAAGTTTAATTTAAAATAAGGATCTTGGGCTGGGGATGTGGCTCAAGTGGTAGCACACTTGCCTGGCGTGCACAGGGCACTGGGTTTGATCCTCAGCACCACTTAAAAATAAAATAAAGATGTTGTGTCCACCGAAAAACTAAAAAATAAATATTAAAAAATTCTCTCTCTCTCTCTCTCTCTCTCTCATATAAAAAGTAAGTCTAAGTACTAATAGGTCATGAAGATGGAAAGGATTAGTGTAGCCGAGTGATCCAGAGCACAGTTTTGGTCTACCAGCAAAGGGTTTTGGTGATTATAGGAGAACAGTTTCAGTAGTGTGGTAGAGATCTAATTGTTGGTTGAACAATTAATGGGAAACAAGAACTTGGAGATAGAACTCTTTCAAGAGGTTTGGTTGACTAGAGAAGGGGGGATTAAGGTAGGAAATAAATAGGGGTATATAAGAAGCAAGCTTTTTTATTTTTAAGATGTACAAATTATCAACATAATGTATCTCAGGTTTATAGAACCATTGTTCACTGCTGTTTCTTGCTTTCCTTTTTTTTTTTTGGTGGTGGTACAGAAATAGCAGTAAACCAACTGGATCAACTGAGCCCAGAGGAACAGTTGCTAGTGAAGTGTGCTGCAATCATTGGTCACTCCTTCCATATAAATCTGCTGCATCACCTCCTGCCTGGCTGGGATAAAAATAAGCTACTTCATTTGTTGGGGGCTCTTGTGGATATGCATGTGCTCCGCTGGCTTGAGCTTCCTCCTGAGTCCATGTTAGTACCTTCCATTATTGACATCATTGATCAAACCAAAGAGAAAAAAAAGTCAGGTGAGGAAGGCGGGGGTATCTATGTTTAGAAAGACCATTAATTTCATGTATTAGGGGCTTCTCTCTGAAGGCTGGCGATTCAGAAATGGAAATAAAATTTTTGTTTATCTATGAAGGAGCCATGGTTATAATAGAAAAATATCCTGTATCCTTATTCCAGCTCCTTGTTAACTCCTGTGTTAGTATTTGTGTTTTGATTTTTTTTGGTTCATAAAATATTGTCATAATCATTTACTGGTTTTCTAGGTACAAATAATAAGGAAAAAAAGATAAATCATTTTGAATTTTAGAAATTCATAAAGAAAATGACTCATGGTATTGAAACAGACTTGAACGGAGCAAAATTCAATTGAACAGCTTATGATTTCAAATTCTCTATATGAAAGAATAAAATCATAGCATGGATGATCCAAGAATATATAATCCACAAATCATTTCTCTTTGACTTTGAGATGTTTGTACTCATATTTCAACAGAATATGTCTTATGATTTGAGATTTGTAACAATTTAAAGTAAAAAAGCTCAGTTAGGAGGAACTATCAAGAAATCTTCCCAATGTATTTCAGTAAAACTAATAATTTCTTCCATTTTGTACCATATCATCAAGTAGAAATGGTCAATACCACTTTCAGATAGGTACAAAATTTTTTATACAAAGGAGGCAGGCACACCAACCATGAGTTGTAAATAAAATCTTATAAAGTAGCAACAATGTGCTTGGGAGTTTGCTATACTGAAGCATTGAAAGACTATAAGGGAGAGTCTCACTTGGATTTTCCTAAATTTCAGACGCTGGCTCAGCCTCTCTTCTCCGGCTGCAAAAAGAACCATCCCTGTCTCAAACTGATGTTCTAGAATTTGGAATGCCTCTATTGCGGGAAGCTGCTTGGGAGCTGTGGCCCAAGGAACAACAGATTGCGCTGCACCTTGAATGTGCCTGTTTTCTCCAAGATTTGGCCTGCCGCTGTGGGAGCTGCCATGGAGGGGACTTTGTCCCCTTCCATCGTTTTGCAATCTGTTCTACTAAGCGCTCTGGAGGGACCTTTAGATTCTGTACTTACAAAGATACAGGCTCAGTTCTAACACAAGTGACCACAGACAAATTGCAGCTGCCTTCTCCCCAAGGTAAACCAGTAGGCAGAAAGAACTCATGTGGGCAGCACTTCTCTTTTTCCATGCACTTGGAGCTCTCCATCAAAAAGTTGAGATTCAGACTGGGAGAGAGTATGTAGAAGGGAACTGTTTAACCCTGAAGTACAGAGTGTTTTAAAAAATGTGATCTCAGAGTTCCAAGGAATATATGACTATCTTGAGAAAGTTACTTGATCTCAATTAATTGGAAAAAGTAATAATATCAACTTCATATTATCATTTTGAGAATTGAATTGGTTAAAATATGTAATGTGCAGCTTTTATTGCCAAGCACATGTTGGGTACTCAGTACAGTTTAGTAATTGCCTTCATTTTTTTTCAGTTCACTATACATATATTGAGTCCTTACATGTATCCGATGCTACACTGGATGTTAGGGATACAGTGTGGGTAAGCCTCAGCCTCTGAACTCCTGAAGCTGTCAGTTTTGGGGGTATAAATTGAGAATTCTAGTATGACATGGTAAAAACATTGAAAATGGCCTACACATCGAGTTTAGAGATGCCTAGAAAAAGGCACCATTGACCCAGACTGAGGAATGTTTCAGAGAAGACACTTCCCTGAAGGAGATAATGCCAGAATTGAATCTGGGATAATGAAGTTGGCCATTTGAAGAATCTTGTATTAGTTGATAGATGTTCACCATAGCCTCTTAAACCAGACCAGGGTTCATCCATCTTTGTTTTAACCTCTTCAGTTCGCTTACCTGGAGGATTTCATATTTCTTTACCTCAGCCTATCAAAAAATTTCTTCTTTCATCAGGTTGGGATCTACCTTCTTGCACTCCACCTAGTTTTCCCAGTTGTGCCATCTTCCGTGACTGAATCCAGCTGTCAAGATCAAACCAAATCTTCTCCTTCTGTATTTGTTAGAAGTTGGTTTGGGTAGAGGGTTAGGGGGCAGGGACACTAGGGGAAAAGTGTTAGATTGTTCCTGTTGGACAGCTAAAGTGAGAGAGAGATTTGACCTATGATCCTAATACCTATTCTATATATAACATAATATGAATGTGAAACCAGTGACTTGGAGCAGTCCTGTGGGCATTTCCATTTTTTGTAGTTTCCAAAATCTGGTATTGTAAAGAAATTGTGCTATCATATTTCCTGTATGGCCCCTTTGCTTTTGAGAAGTCAGTGTCAGCTTTAGACTAGATGGTTTGGTCAGTCTGTAAGAGAGAGGCTCAAGACCTCCAGAGCCCAGCCGAATACTGAGTGGGCTTCCCAGACTGAGGCCATACAGTCTTGACATTACTCAACTCCAGAGGCTAGAATGAGAAAGTGCCACTTGGAGTTATGCCCACAATAGTGCTGCCAAACCCTTTTCCTTAATTACCTTATCTATTATAAAGATCATTACCATGAGAGAGCCAGTCCTTTTAGTTAACCCAAACATTCTTCTTCTAAAAATGCTCTTAGACTCTATCAATCCTGCCCATGTAGGTAAAATCTCACCATCATTCTTAATATTTGCTAATTTATTATTATTATTATTATTATTATTATTATTATTATTATTATTATCATTATTTCCATATTACATTTTTAAATTTGTCCTAATTAGTTATACATGACAGCAGAATGCATTTTGATTCATTGTATATAAATGGAGCACAACTTTTCATTTCTCTGGTTGTGCAAGATGTGAAATCACAACATATGTGCAGTCGCATTTCACCATCTTTCCTGCCCCCATCCCCACTCCCAGTCTCTCCCTCCCCTTTGCCCAATCAAAGTTCCTTCATTCTCCCCATGCCCACCCCCCAGCATTATGTATCAGCATCCACTTATTAGAGAAAACATTTGGCCTTTGGTTTTTTGGGATTGGCTTACTTCAATTAACATGATATTCTCCAACTCCATCTATTTACCTGCAAATGCCATGATTTTATTCTCTTTTAATGCTAAGTAATATTCTATTGTGTATATATACCACACTTTCTTTATCCATTCATCTGTTGAAGGACATCTAGGTTGCTTCCACAGTTTAGCTATTGTGAATTGAGTTGCTATGAATATTAATGTGGCTGTGTCATTATAGTATGCTGATTTTAAGTCCTTTGGGTATAGACCAAGGAATGAGATAGCTGGGTCAAATGGTGGTTCTATTCCAAGTTTTATAAGGAATCTCCATACTGCTTTCCATAGTGGTTGCAACAATTTGCAGTGCCACCAGCAATGTATGAGTGTACCTTTTTCTCCACATCTTTGCCAACACTTATTATTGCTTGTATTCTTAATAATTTCCATTCTAACTAGAGTTGAGATGAAATCTTAGATTTGGATTTTTAGAGATGAGAACATTTTTTCATATATTTGTTGGTCAATTGTATATCTTCTTCTGAGAAGTGTCTGTTCAGTTCCTTGACCTATTTATTAATTTGGTTATTTGTTGTTTTTTTTTTGGTGTTAAGTTTTTTGAGTTCTTTAGACCAGAGACTCTGCATCTAATAGAAGAAGTAGGCCCACATCTCCATCATATCAGATTAGGTTCTGACTTCCTTAACGAGACTTCTAATGCACAAAAAATAAAATCAAGAATCAATAAATGGGATGGATTCCAACTAAAAATCTTCTTCTCAGCAAAGGAAATAATCAGTAGCCTGAAGAGAGTGCCCACAAAGTGGGAGAACATCTTTACTATACACACATCAGATAGAGCACTAATATCCAGAATATTTGCTCTTTTGATCTGTGACAGGCATCTGCAGGTCAAATGTGGAAGATAAAGGCTAGTTAAGTTCAGCTAGTAGATTGCGGCATCTTGTGCTTACCATAGTTTTCTTCTATTGGTCTTTGGCCCTACAATTCACTCTGATCTGGTCATCTACTTGATCCAAATATATTTAGGGATTTCCACCATTGGAAGTATCCATCAAACCAGAATGGACACATACTTTATTCATTTTTTCCTTCATTTAGCAAACATCGAGGATCTCCTTCAAGGTGGGAACTGGTTTGAGGAAATTGACAATGAGGATTACTTATTCGAATCACAAATAATTGTCATTAGAAATTTATAATGTATCATCCTAATTTTGTATTGTAAGTTGCAGAGAAAAGGGTAGTTAGGAATTTTAAATATTCTCAGTTAATCCAAACATGGATAATTAAAAATAATTATATTTTTTCTCCCCACAGATAGTTTTAATTTCCAGGAAAAAACATTCAGAAGTCAGGAGACCTTCTCAAGTGAACAACACAGCAGGTAGATGAAGATGCCCAGGGAGAACACAGAGGTCCCAGAGTTAGAGACAGATAGCCATCAAACTGGGGTACTCATCTCACCGTCATACCAGAGGGAGTCTGACCACTCTGCAAGAGACTTTTTTTTTCCATTATTTTTATTGGTGCATTATAATTGTGTGTAATGGTGGGGTTTGTTGTTTTATATTCAGATATGCACACAATATAATTTGGCCAAAATCATTCCCCAGTATTTCCCCTTTCCCTCTCCTCCTCCCTTCTCATGATCCCTTTTCTCTATTGATCTCCCTTTGATTTTCACAAGATCCCACAATCAACTTTCTTTTCTCTTTTCCTCTCTAGCTCCAGTATATGAGAGAAAACATACAACTCTTGACCTTCTGAATTTGGCTTATTTTGCTTAACATAATGTTCTCAAATTCCATCTATTTCCCAGTAATGACTTTTATGTTTCTTTATGGCTGAATAAAACTCTGTTGTGTATATATATTACACATTTGTGTATATATGTGTAACATATCTGTTGATGGATACGTAGGCTGGTTCTATAGTTTAGGTACTATGAATTGTGCTGCTATAAACATGGATAGACATGCATTGATGACTTTAATTTTTTAGGATAAATAATGAGGAGTGGTGTAGCTGAATCATATGTTGGTTCCATTTCTATTCTATTGAGGAACTGCCATACTGATTTCCATAGGGATTGCACTAATTTACAATCTCACTAACCTTGTATAAGTGTTGCTTTTTCTCCCTACCTCTCCTGCATATATTACTGTTTGTATTCTTGATGGCTACCATTCTTAATGGCTGCAATTCTGATTGGAGTGAGACAATCTCAGTTTAGTTTTTATTTATATTTCCCTAATTGCTAATGATGTTCGACATTTATTATATGTTTATTGGCCATTTGTATTTCTTCTTTTGAGATGTGTCTGTTTAGTTCATTTGTCCATTTATTAATTGGGTTATTTGAGGGGGGAGGGTGTTAAGTTTTTGAATTCTTTGTATATTCTAAATATTAATCCTCTGTCAGAAGAATAGTTAGCAAATAATTTGTCCTATTTTAGTGATTTTCTCTTCACATTCTTATTTCCTTTGGGATGGCATCAAATTAAAAAGGCAATGTACCGCAACGAAGTGGGAACTCTTATAATCAGCCCAAAATTCAGAATGACAGTTCTCTAAAGGGAAATTATTTCTTAAGCGTCAAGAATAATTTTATTTAAGCTTTCAAACATTGTATACAAAGCATATTTTTTTCAGCATAAATCTGTCGATTTTTTTGCTTCAGATGATATGAAAATGTGTATTTCCTAACCATGCACTTCCTGACTTTCTAATGCCTATCCCATCAATTTTAAATTTTCATTTTCACCAACTGTTCTAGACATAGTTTCTCATTCCACTTACCTAACCTGCTACTCTACTGATTTCAAACAAACTATTTAAAAAACCTGTATTCCTCATGAACTACCCATACTCACCTGTGCCAGCTATTCCTCTTTCAGTGCTGAGTGGCCTCTGCCTCCCTCCTTTTATCAGCATGTTGACCAACCTTCAAGCCCCTCCTCAATTTTTACTGTTTTAGATCATTGTGGTTCAGGAATATATGATCTCTTTTGACCTCAGGATGCCTTTAGAAGGTACATGCTAGTAGTCAGAGAGGTGAGCTCTAGTTTGGGTTCTATTTCTCATTAGCTGTGATACCATAAGTCATGTAATTTCTCTGATCATTAGTTTCCTCACCAGTAAAGAGAAGTAATTTTTGCCTTCCTGATAGAATTGTTATAGTATTGATGATGCTATATACAATAATATTTAAATATGCTATGAAATTGCATATTTTTTACAAAATTGAAATATGCTACTAGAATATGTATTATTACATATTAGTTTGTATCATTTTGTTTTATTTTACATTTATTTTGTTAGCTTACTCTTTAGGCGTAATGTTTCCCCATTTAGATTATGAAGTACTTAGGTTAGTTTTAGGTTTTGGGGGTGTTTTATCTTTGTTTTTTGGCGGTTGTTTGTTTGTTTTTCTCAGTACCTGGATGGAACTCTGGGGTGCTCTACCATTGAGCTATATCCCCAGCCCTTTTTATTTTGAAACAGGGTCTTGCTAAGTTGCCCAGCCCTGAACTTGCAGTCCTGCTGCCTCAGCCTCCTGAAGAGCTAGGATTACAGGCATGTACCAATGTGCCTGGCTGACTTTAATTTTTTTAAATCCCTAATAGAGCATTGCAGTTATAGCTCTGTTTTCTGACTTATTAAAATTTATAGAGTAATAGAGTAATTAATTATACAGACACTTCCCGGGAAACATGGTTTTGAGACCTTGTAATGCCCCAACAAAAGTGACAGTTTTGTGGCCCCTCTCAGTTCTTGATCTTCTCTCCATAAAGAACAGAGGAAGAGTTCCTAGAGCGAGTGAACAGGAAGCTGGCTCAGACCAGCCCCAAGAAAGACCTGTTGACCACAAAGCCCTGCCACTGTGAGGAAATCCTGAAACTAGTGCTCTCACCACTCACCCAGCACTGCTTGGTTGTTGGAGAAACCAACTGTGCATTTTATTACCTGCTGGAGGCTGCTGCTGCCTCCTTGGACCTGTCAGATAATTACATGGTGAGCAAGCTCAGCTCTCTGCTCTTGAACTGAGCCTTTTTACTTTGGGAATTTGATTGAGAGTGCTTCCTGTCAAGTAGGAATAGAAAGTGGAAGAAAATGGGAGAGAGAGAAGCTGGAGGGATTTAGGAGAAGACATGAAATGGGAATGTGGTGAGAGAGAGCACTGACCCACACTGGCCCTGCCCTTGACTTGCACAGCAGGCTGGGCCCTCACTCTACCTCAAAATCCCAAACCTGATTTCAAATTCAGATCTTGACCCTCATCCTAACCTTATCCAGCATCATCCTAACCTTACCCCCAGCACCATCCTAATCCTAATCCAGTTTCTTCATCCTTTGTTTGAAGGCTTTCTTTTATTTAAGGAAGGCAAGCAGTCTTCTAGGCCAACCCTCAGCATTCTCGTTCTTGAAAAAGCACAAAGTGAAGATTTGTCAGTTTGAGGAGGCCACTTTCTGCAGGCTTCGGTCAGAGGTGAGGATGAGCATAACCTTGAAGTTTTGTTTTTTCTAAGAGTTACCCTATTTTTTAAATTCCATCATGTCTTTTTTTTTCTGTATGGTTGTAAATGTGATAATGTGATAAAAAGTTGGATATATTTTATAGAATTATATGTTATATAGAAAATGAAATAGCCCCCACTCATCCCACATCACTCCCATCATAGTTAAAAATTTGATCTGTAGTCTGCCAACTATACACAATCATGTCATTTTTCAATTATATCATTTTAATAGGGTCATATTCCATATTCTTTTTCTTCTGCAGCTAATTTTACTTTTCATAGTACAATTGAATATATACTTGCATATGTGCATACTTATTTATCCATCAAATAATTGCAACTGCCAAGTACTCCAAGTATATTGTATGGATAGAGCATAGTTTATTCCTTTTATTCATGTGAATTTATGTTGTCTCTAATTTGGGTGTTGAAAATTGGTGTAGTGAATATTCTTGTTACATCTCTCTCTTCCCTTTCTGTAGGAACTTCTTTGAGAAGTTCCCAAACGTAGAAATGCTAAGGCAGAAGATATGGACAATTTTACACTTTACTAAATATATCACCAAATTGACCACCAAAACTATTATATAAATTTGAATTTTTCCCATTTCTTCATATTCTTAACAACATCAGATATTATCAGTCTTTTCTAAACTTGCTAATTCCTAGACAAGTTATATTGTATTTTAATGTGTACCTCTTAATTATTAAGGTTCTTTATTATGTTCATTGGTTATTTCTGTTTATTTTCTGTGAATTATACATTTATGTTCTTTGCCCTCTGGAGTAAATAAACTAATTTAAGATAAACATTAAGATAATCTGGTTATGAACTTAAATATATAGGCCTTTGTAGATTAAAGAGAATATTAGAGTTTACCAGTGTTGCATTATTTTTGCTTCAATGAAGTGGTCTTTGGAGTAAAGTTAAACATTTTTTTCCTTTTATGGAAAGAAATTATTTGTTATTTCTCGCAAGATTGTTCAAGAATCACATAAACTTCATCACTTTCTTGGGAGATTGAGCCTTAGAACATGAAGTTATAGGATAACCTCAAGGTAGTTTTGAAACCCAACACCTACATCCACATCTCTGGTAGTACAACCTATTTAGGAAGGAGAGATATAGGATTTTCTATAGATGCTTTCTGGCAGCTGAGAGTATCTGAGTCTCTGCCCAAATGATGATGCCATCTCAATCTAGCCAGCACCACTTTCTTTCAAACTGTCTCTACTGCCCACTGACAGATGTGTAGGCCATGAGAAAAGAAGGTGCTTTCTCCAGAATTCTGTTTTCTCACCCCTTTAATGCTTATTGCCCTCCTGGTCCTTGTTTTTGTGACTTCTGACCAGGCTGTTCTCTAACTCAGTTCACTCTAGCACCTCAGTGATTTCAGTTACGTACACATCTCCAAATGAAAGAGCCAGTATTTTGTATCCATAGCTGGATGTGGTGGCACATGTTTATAATCCCAGTGACTGGGGAGGCTGAGGCTGAAGGATTGCAAGTTTGAGGCCAGTCTCTGCAATTTAGTGAGAACCTATCTCAAAATAAAAAATAAAAAGGACTTGGAGATGTAGCTCAGTGGTACAGCACCCCTGGGTTCAATTCCCAGTACCCAAAACAAAACAAAACGTAGCCAATGGTATTCTTCCCACTTTTACACAAGTGTTTCTTATTTTGTCAACTCCAGGTCTGTTTCAACATGGGACAGATCACCTTGGCCAAAAAATTAGCTAGGCAAGCCCTTCGACTGCTGAAAAGGAATTTCCCTTGGACCTGGATTGGTGTCTTTTTCCAAACATTTCTGGAAAAGTATTGGTATTCCTGTTACCTGAACCAGTCTCCAAATAATCCCAGTGAGAAGTGAGAAGACAGTCCAGATTGTCCTGGTTCCCTTTAGGGCTACAGAGAACCACAGCTAAAGTAGGACCCAGCCTAGAGCTTTTCTTATATTGATCTAAGTAAGAGTCCTCTTTTTCTTGCTATCAAGTGACTTTCAAGCATATTAGCAGAAAAGCATATAACAAGATCCATAATAGCAGAGCAGATAAGTATAACACTTCTAGGTCTCCCACCTTCTTCTCCCAGCTAATTAAGTATGACAAATAGCAAGTCAAAGAATGAGCCTTTTTAAAAAATCTCTGGACTTTTCCTGATTTAGAGGGATGAATTAAAATGGTCTGTGGGGTTGGGAGCAGTGGAGTTCCAGGAACATTTCTGTGTTTGACAATCTGTAGATGACCCCTAATGAGTAGACCTAGGACTCTTGTGGGGAGGGAGAGTTGGGCATGATGAAGAATAAGGGTGTGCTGACTAACCACCCCGTGCTTCACAACAGTAAGAAGAAGCTGGCAGTTCTACAGCAACGGGTACACTGCCTCTCCTTGCTCTGGCAACTCTATAACCTGGAGGCCACAGCCAATAGCCGCAGGTTTGCCTGCCTGGCCACTCTCATGCAGAAAAATTCAGCTGAGGAGTTTGCAAATGAAGCCCAGGTGAGCAATTCTTGGACTTCACTGAGAAACCTCAAGTGCTAGAAAGAAAGACCCTGCCAAGTTCCTGTTTTTAGCATCATTCCCCAACACCCCAGACTTAACGAGACACTATTGGTCATGTATTTGAGAAGGGCTTCTCAATTTGCAGTTTATAGAAGGATTTCCAGGTGTGGGACTATGTGGGGTCACCCTGAACTGAAGGCAGAATTTTGTGTTATGTTCAAAATGGCATTTCTTGGGTAGTAGGAGGGGGAAAGGTCATAGCTTTCTTCAGATTCTCCATGTCCCTGATCTAAAAAGGGATTAGAACTGCTGACTTAAGGGGGAAAACATGGTGTATATTTTTCTAATTTTAGTTCCCATCTGTTTTTCTCTTTTACCTATTTATTCAACATATATTTGATGAAAACATTATATGTCACATACTGAACTTGGCTCCAGGGAAACATGTAGTATGTCAAAATATAGTAATATATACTTTGTTAGGTGATGATAAGTGCAATGGCTAAAAGTAAAGTGAAGACGGGGAGGCATGGGGTTCTGAGAGCAGGGGTTGCCTTTACTGAGCGGTGAGTACTGGGGATTGAACTCAGGGGCATTTACCCACTGAGCCACATCCCCAGCCCTATTTTGTATTTAGAGACAAGATCTCTCTGAGTTGCTTGGCACCTCACTTTTGCTGAGGCTGGCTTTAAACTCGTGATCCTCCTGCCTCAGCCTCCCAAACCACTGAGATTGTAGGCATGCACCACTGCACCCATTAGGTTGCCATTTTAAACAGGGTAGTCAGAGAATGTCTTGCTGATCAGGTGACATTACGGCAAAGAGCTGAAGGAGATGAGAAGCCAGGCTGTCTTAGGAAAGATTGTATAGGCAGAGGACACAATGAAAGCACAAGGCACATCCTCTGTGTGCAAGAAATGGTGAGGAGGCAAGTGTGACTGGAAGGGAGGGAGAGGAAGAGAGCCAACCAGGAGATGAGATCAGAGGGACTAGGGAAAGGCAGGATGGCAGATGGTAGAGGCCTTGTAGGCCAAAAATAGGGTTTGGCTTTTACTGTAAAAGAGATGGGAAGCTTTTGGTGGGTTCTACACACACACCAAAAAAAAAAGGGGGGGGGATCAGTATAAGGTTTAGTTTTAATAAGATCATTTTAGATGTTATGCCAAGAACAAACTGAAGGGGACAAAGGAAGAAGACCGTTTCAGAGTCTGTTGGAAGTCATCTAGGCAAGAGATGGTGATAGCTAAGATTGTTACAGCAGCAGAAGGAGAAGGAAGAGTGATCTTTTGTCAAAATAAACTGAGCAAAATTTGCTCATGGATCTCTTATGGGATGGAAAAGAGGAGAGTCAAGGATAATTCCAAGATCTGCGTCCTGCCCTTTAGAGGCATAGAGATGCTCTTCATTTGGACAGGGAAGTCTGCAGATTCAGTGGAAGATTAGGAGCTAGACTTTGGAGTTATTCAATTTCAAATGCCTGTTGGACATCCAGGTGGAGCTGTGGAGTAAGCAGTTGAATATATGAGTCTGGACATCATAGGACCTTTCTGAACTAGAAATGGAAATATGGAAGTCACAGTGTATAAATGCTATTTAAAGCTGTGAAGCTGGATGAGAACATCAAAGGAACAGGAATAAGCATAGAAAAGAGGAAATCCAAGGACTGTGTTCATATAACTCCAATATTAGAGGTCAGGACGATAAGGGCTGGTTTAATGAAAGAAACTGAGAAGTTGCCAGAGAGACAAGAGAAAAACCAAAAGAGCATATGTCCTAGAAACCTTGGGAATACAGTATTTCAAGAAGAGAGCCACTAACATATCAAATGTGTACATAGTTGTAAGCAGCTGTTCTGAAGAGCCATAAGGAGCAAGACTCAGAGGCCTTAAGTGGAGGGGGAAAAAAGGGGTGTTTCAATCAGTCTTGGATTGAAGGAGAAGAGGGGCATGTAGAGAAAGTGCTTAGTTTAAAGAACAGGCAGGGGGCATGATCAAATTAGAAGTGCAAGGGTAAAAGGAGCATGTTTTCGTAGGTGGAGTAGAAGAGTGTGGTAGCAACACCAAGAGTCCAGATTGAGAGCAATAAGGCACCATAGTAGGCCCTTAAACAGGAAAGAAGTCAAATGGAAATGTCACATGAATGGGCAATGGGAATTTGTTTATTACCCTACAGGTTATCTCTACCTACGTGGACCTCTCCCAGTTCTCCCAGAACATGGGCGATAGGGAGAAGTGGCTGCACTGTGAACAGATAGCCATTCAGAAGAGTAGCCTGTGTTGGTTCTCCAGGGAAGGATTATTGGCTACAGCCCAGCTCATGCAGGCCTTGGCCTACACCAAGCTTTGCCTTGGCCATCTTGACTTCTCCATCAAGCTGGGTAATGGGATGTTGGGGCTGGTGGGCCCAGAGATTTCACAGAGTCCAGGTTCACAGTTAGACCTTACACAATGCTCTTTAACCTCCTTAGGTTTTCAAGCTCATGAGATATGCAGACAACTCAAGAAACCGGCTCTGGAGAATCTAGTTCTCTCAGTTCTCTTCAGATCTACATTTCTGAAGAAGAAGTATTAAGATCATTTTCAGTTATTGTATTCATTGTATAAGAATGGGAGAGATGTCCTTCAAAGAAGTTTGGGGTGGAATGGGAGACGCTTTTTCATTTCCACAGCCAGGGCTCTTTACCCTGACCCCTCCAAGAAGCATTATCTTTAGTGCAAGGTGTCAGGAGTGGAAATGCAGAGTGGAACTCCACTTGGACCTAGTGGGCAAACTTTGTTTCCCCACCCCCCATTTCCCTGCAGGGAGGTAGGGGATTACAACAGCTCGGGTTCCTTGAAACTGCCTCAGAGGCATTTCCCACCTCCTTTACCTAGAGAAAGGTCTGATCTCAGGCCTATGTTCTCTATATAAACAGAGCTCTGGAGAGGAGCTCTTGGGAGTGTTAGGTGCTTTGAGGTTAAGATCCCCTCCTTTCCTGCACCATCTTCCCCCACTCCCTAGCTGGTCCCAGTGGCTCTGTCTCTCGGCAGATATGATCTGTGTGTCCATGTGCTGGAGAGTCAGTGGGCGCTCATTTCCCAGGGTCATGATGTCCTTGGCCTGGCCTGCTTCTACTCTGCTTGCTTAGATCTGCTGTTGTATGGAAAAGGTAAATCTTGCACAGGGCTCTGCTCTATGCTTAAGGGATGCAAACGTCAGATGGGGCACTAGGTTTGGAACATAGGCAATATGAACCCATCCCTCGGGCATGGTTCCTTTTTTCCTAAAGTCTGAGTTGTGCTTTAGAGGGTATCTGCTTTTCTAGTTTGTTTCCTCCCTGTACCACTCCTTCTATACCTCACTCTCTATGTTGACAATATATACTAGCCCGGTTACTCTCTCTGTCCACAGGATTGCTGTGTCGGCCCTTTGACGAGTGTCTGTGTTTCATTCAACACTATGGGCACAGCTGTGTTCTAACTTCTCAAAGCAATGTCATGCTGGGGGTCCATTCCTCCCTGGCCATGTGGTAATGTCCCGCTGAGGATCTGTGGGAAAGGGTAGAATTCTAAGGTCCTCCTGAACTCATTTCGGCACCTCACCCCTCTAAGCAGGACAATTCAACATCTTACTTTTAAAGACCATTCACCACCCATCCCCTATATCTTACTAAAACAGTTCTTCTCGCCCTTTGCAGATTTGGGCCCATAAGTTGAGGGTTACATTTAAGAGCTAGAGTAACCCACAGCAAGGCTGATTATCATGGTCTGTCCCACAGCAAGGCTGATTATCATGGTCTGTTCTTTGGTCTCCTTGCGTGTGAGCTAGACTTCAACATTTTCCAGCACCATAATTCTGACTGGGTACCTCAGGGCCTTAAAGAAGTGACAGTTCATGAAAGAACCATGGTTTATAAACAGGGGGTAGAGTTGAGAGTTGTAACTCTTTACCTTCTAGGTTTGCCCGGAACTCACAGTGGGACCTATTTGAGCATCACTTCTCCAAGGCTTGCCGATTGGTGAAAAGAACCAATGCCTCACTGTTTGGTTCACATGGCTTTGTGCGATTCCTAGAGTGCTGTGTGCTGATGTTACAGAAAATGCCAGAGGAGGTCTCTGGTCTTTCCCCAGAGACCCCCAGCCAAACCCTCCAGGTAGCTATTTCTCTTCTGTCATTCAACTAACACCTAACTAATGTAAAAGTTCCTGCCACTTGCATCTCTCCACATTCTTCTCTCACTGTCTCTGCCTCCCTTTTCTCCTTGAATACTTTGTTTATCCATCTAGAAAGTTGCTATCAACATCATGTACCTTCCTAGATATTTTTATATCTAGATGAGGACTTGGTTCCTTATATTTATGCCTTCACACAGCTAATACCCAATATCATTAAAATGTTAATATTTAGCCCTCCTCAGTGGGCTTACTCGGTGACTCAGTCTGTGATTAAACACATGTTTCTACAACCTTACCTTCTGAGTATAAGATACATTCCAAGTTACTGTATCCCAGAACCAATTTTCCATCAGTAACTCTTCCCTGTCCCCTAAGCCCTGAGTGAGTATGTTGAGTGAAGACTGTTGTATGTTCTGCTACAGTGGTGTGTAGGGGAAGAGGGTACTAATTCCAGAGCTAATGGATCTTCCTTTTCTTTCAGTACTTTAAGGAGTTCTTCTCTCGGTGTGTGACCTGCCCTGTCTATCATGAATGGGTCTCTGAGCTTAAGGCCTCTGTGATGAGGTGTGGAAAGAAAGAATCCATGACCTTGAGTAACTCCATCAGACCTTTTGAGACCAGCTTGAGCAGGATTTGGATAGAGGGAGAATTCCTAAAGAAAAACAACTGTTATGAAAAAAAAATTAGGAATACAGAGTAAGTATTCCTTCCTGGAACCCTTGTGTGAGAGACACAAAGAACAGTCTCAGATTCTTAGAAGCAGTCAAAGGCTATACCTTTAATGTAAAAAAGGACACACAGATATAAGAAGTTAGTCTTTGTTCCAGAGGTAAGTATAATCCTCTCCCTAGTGCTGGACCCAGCTCAGACAATTCTATTGTTATATGAAGAAATTGCTTCAATTGTTTTGGCATCTAAAACTCTTAGTCATAGAAAATTTTTCCTTGGACTTGGCTTAAATAACTGGGTTGTTTCTATGGATGGATGGTCACAAAGGGTAAAAAAGAAGGCCTTAAAATTCACAGAGTAATGTATGTGAAGATGTAGGCATGAAAAAGAAAGAAAGAATATAACTTTTTGCCTCAGGGCCCTGCAGATCTCCTCCTTTCAAGGCTGGTTTGTGATATTTTTTATGTTCCTTCTTTCAGAATTTGACAGTGTGGCTGATGTCAAGGAGAATAAGGACACAGAAGAAACTCAAAGAATATATATGTTAAAACAAAACAAAAATAACCTGATGGGACAGGATTCTCATATTGTATATAATGCAAGGAAATGCCCTGAGTTCTCCGTGTTCACCATGTGCATGCTGAATAGACTAGCCTTCATAGTCACTGCAGCCTATGTCTTTGTCAAAATAAAAGTCTATGTTTCTAAAGCATGCACTGACATCTTCGTTAACTCTTATAGTCATTACCACAATTGCAACAGAAGTGAGAACCAGAGGTAGACTGGGGGCTTTGAAATGAACCAGTTCTATCTTATATAAGGTGGGATCCACTAGCAGTTGGGAAACTGCACCCCTAATAAAGAGGTTGCCATTAGGGGGCTGGGGCTGGGGCTCAGTGGTAGAGTGCTTGCCTAGCATGCCTGAGGCACTGGTTTCAATTCCCAGCACCACATTAAAAAAACTAAACAAAATAAAGGTATTGTATCCATCTACAAAAAAGAGGTTGTCGTTACATCAAGAAGGCCAGCAGTGGGGTACTTGGGTGTTGTCTTCTTTTGATTGAGATTTGTCAGGGGGAATCCAAAAAAGTCAAGGATTCTTTTGAGAGGTACAGGAGGTGTAGGAGTCTGTTCCCTCTGTGCTTTGTGATTGGGTGTTCCCAGGGGAAACTGTGGTGTTGCCAGAAGGTGGAGGACTCCCGCCATCTTCCTTTTTCATCTTCCTTTTTGGAGCTGCCACCATTGGGCTTTTCTCCTTGGTGGTGGTTCATCCATGGGTGTGATCTTCCCACTCACTTTGTTTGCTTTATACCTCAGTCACCTGCTGTCCATGGAGTCACTTGCCTAGTGTTGTGTAGTTACTTAATCTATGCCTGAAATGGAGTCTTTCAATACTTGTATCAACTCTGTGAGAGGTAAGCTGATTTTATCCCGTATTTACAGATGAAGAAATAAAAGCTTAGAATCTAAGTTTTATCCAAGAAATGTAGCCACAAGGGCTGGGGCTGGGGCTCAGTGGTAGAGCGCTTGCCTAGCATGTGGGAGGCACTAGGTTTGATTCTCAGTACCACATATAAATAAATTAATAAATAAATAAATGTCCATCGACAACTAAAAAAAAATATTTTAAAAAAGAAAAGAAACATAGCCATAAATGGAAATCAGGGATTCTAGTTCAGATTTCATTCCAGAGGTTATTCTGCTAACCTCTAGGCTGTATAGGCTTTTACAGGAGCTGGCCTATACTAAGCTATCTTATACCCAGTCTTCACTGTTCTCTGCAAATGGCCAAGATGGGAAATTGAAGGACAAGGAAGGAAATGTGTGCAAAGAGGGAGCTGTACTTGCCAGATAAATCATGCTGTGCAGTCTGCTCAGGCCCTCCTGTCCCTCTTCCCCTCACACCCCTTTTCCCCTCTTGCCACCCTTCTTTCTCTCCCTTTGCGCCCTCCATCTCCCCCTTGCACTCCTCATCTTACCCATTCTTTTCTTTCTCCTCACCTACATTTCCCCCCACACCTTCTTCACTGCTTTAAATTTTTGAGGGGCAATATAGAGTAGCAGTCAAAAACAAGGACTGGACTTATTAGCTGTGGTTTTTTTGGGGTGTATAATTTGTCTTGTGTATGCCTGCATTTCCTTTTCTATAGATGAGAATAAAAAGAGCACAAAAGAATGTCATTGTGAAAATGAAATAAATACAAAACATTTAGAATAGTACCTGGCACATAGTAAGCACTCAGCAAATGTTACCTATTGTTACCAATTCAATTTTTATATTTCAAAAATAGATAATACATTTATATGGTCCAAAATTCAAAAGGAACAAAAACACTTTAACAGTAAAAAAGTCTTTCACATTCCTGTCTCCAGTTGGCTTCTCCAGAGGTGAACTGTATTAACACTTCCTTGTGAAGCCTGGCAAAATTCTTCTATGCACATGCGAGCAATCGTGTATATTTATCGCACCCTTCTTTTCCATAAATAGTGGTGATACACAGTGCCACTACATACTTTTGTTGTTGTTGCATTCCCTTTTGGCACTTTTTTGAAGATAGAATTCACATATCATAAAATTCACCCTTTTGGCATATACAATTCAATATTTTAAGTTCTATTTGCAGGGTCATACAATCATCATCACTATCTAATTCCAGAACATTTAATTGTCCCAAAAAGGAACTCTGTGCCCATGAGCTGTCTCCCTCTGCTCCTCTTTTCTTAGTCCCTGATAACACTAGTATGTTCTCAGTCCCTATACAGTCGCCTGGATACTTACTATAAATGGTAGAACATATGGTCTTTTGCATCTGGCTTCTTTCACTTAACATTTTCAAGATTCATCCATGTTGTAACATTACTTTTTATGGCTAAATAATGTTTCATTGTATAAATATGCCACACTTTTTTTAAAAAAACATTTTTTAATATGTTTCTTAGTTACAGTTGGACACAATATCTTTATTTTTATGTGGTGCTTAGGGTCGAACACAGTGCTTCACACATGCAAGGCAGGCACTCTACCAATGAGCTACAGCCCCAGCCCAAATATGCCACATTTTAACTATCAGTTTATTCATCATTATTAAATATTTGGCTTGTTTTGACTTTTAAATATTATGAATGATGCTACTATAAACATTCATGTATAAGTTTCTGTGTTAATTCTTTGATATATTCTTGGGTATATATTGTGTAATTTAGGAATTCTCAAGAATCGTCAAGTTATATAGAAATTCTGTGTTTCACTTTTTGAGGGGCTGTCAGACTGTTCCAAAGTCACTGTATCACTTACTTTCTCATCAGCAATATATGACATTTCCAATTTTACATAAGTCTTGTCAACACTTGTTATTGTGTATCTTTTTCTTGTAGCCTTTCCATAGGTATGAAATGATATCTCATGGTTTTGATTTGCATTTCCTTAAGGACTAATGATGCTGAGCATACCTTCTTGGAGAAATCTAATGAAAATCATTGCTTTTTTTTCCTCAGGGTAGGGGGAGTCCTCTACCACTGAACTACATCCCCAGTTCTCTTTGTCCATTTTTTGCTTTATTTTACTTATTATTTTTAAAATTAATAATTAATGTATTTGTTCTAAATTGTTATTCATGACAGCAGAAGGCATTTCAATTCATAGGACACATATGGAGCACAATTTTTCATTTCTCTGGTTGTACACAAAGTAGAGTCATACCATTGGTGTCTTCGTACATGTACCTAGGGTAATGATGTCCATCTCTTTCCACTGTCTTTCCTACCCCTATGCCTCCTCCCTTCCTCTCCCTCTCCTTTGCCCTATCTAAAGTTCCTCCATTCCTCCCCTGCTCCCCTGGCCACACCCATTGTGGATAAGCATCCACTTATCAGAGAAAATTTTGGCCTTTGGTTTTTAAGACTGAATAATATTCCATTGTGTATATATACCACACTTTCTTTATCCATTTATCTGTTGAAGGACATCTAGTTTACTTCCACAGTTTAGCTATTGTGAATTGAGCTGCTATGAATATTAATGTGGCTGTGTCACTATGGTATGCTGACTTTAAGTCCTTTGGATATAAACCAAGGAGTGGGATAACTGGGTCAAATGGTGGTTCCATTCCAAGTTTTATAAGGAATCTCCATATGCTTTCCATAGTGGTTGCAACAATTTGCCACCAGCAATGTAGGAGTGTACTTTTATCTCCACATCTTTGCCAACACTTATTGTTGCTTGTATTCTTAATAATTGCCATTCTGACTAGAGTTAAATGAAATCTTAGAGTAGTTTTGATTTGGATTTCTGGAGAGGAGATCATTTTTTCATATATTTATTGATCGATTGTATATCTTCTTCTGAGAAGTGTCTGTTCAGTTCCTTAGCCCATTAACTTATTGGGTTATTTGTGAGTTTTGTTTATTTTTAGTATTTTTTTGAGTTCTTTATATATCCTGGAGATTAGTGCTCTGTCTGATGTGCATATGGCAAAAATTTGCTCCCATACGCTCTCTGCTCACTTCACTGTTTCTTTTGCTGAGAAGAAGCTTTTCAGTTTGAATCCAACCCATTTACTGATTCTTGATTTTCTTGTTAAGGAAGTCGAGGTCTAATCTGACATAATGAAGATTTGGGCCTACTTTTTCTTTTTTTTTTTTTAATTTTTTATTTTTTTTATGCATATTTCATACATTAGATTGAAGTGGGTTATGAACTCCCAATTTTACCCCAAATGCAGATTGCAGAATCACGTCGGTTATACATCCACAATTTTACATAATGCCCAATTAGTAATTGTTGTATTCTGCTACCTTTCCTATCCCCTATTATCCCCCCTCCCCTCCCCTCCCCTCCCTTCTTCTCTCTCTAGTGGGCCTACTTTTTCTTCTGTTAGTCATAGTCTCTGGTCTAATTCCTAGGATCTTGATCCACTGTGAGATGGATTTTTGTTTATGGTGAGAGATAAGGATTTAATTTCATTTGCTGCATATGGATTTCCAGTTATCCCAGCACCATTTGTTGAAGAGACTACCTTTTCTTCAATATATGTTTTAGGCACTTTTGTCTAATATGAAATAATTGTATAATGTTATTTTGTCTCTGTGTCTTGTATTCTGTACCATTGGTCTACAAGTCTATTTTGGTGCCATCACCATGCTGTTTTTGTTACTATGGCTCTTTTAAGGTCTGGCATTGTGATGCCACCTGTTTCACTCTTCTTGCCAAAGATTACTTTGGTTATTCTGGGTCTCTTATTTTTCCAAATGAATTTCATGATGGCTTTTTCTATTTCTATGAGGAATATCATTGGGATTTTGATTGGAATTGCATTAAATTTGTATAGTGCTTTTGGTAATATGGTCATTTTGACAATATTAATTCTGCCTATCCAGAAGCATGAGAGATCTTTCCCTCTTCTAAGGTCTTCTTTAATTTCTTTTTCTTTTTTTTTTTAGTGGTCTGTAGTTTTCATTATAGAGGTCTTTCACCTCTTTTGTTAAACTGATTCCCAAGTTGTTGTTTTGTTTGTTTGTTTTTTGAGGCTATTGTGAATGGGTAGTTTTTCTACTTTCTCTTTCAGAGGAATTCATCACTGATGTATAGAAATGCATTTGATTTGTGGGTGTTGATTTTATATCCTGCTATTTTTCTGAATTCATTTATTAGTTCTAGAAGTTTTCTGGTGGAATTTTTTGGATTCTCTAAGTATAGAATCATGTTGTTGGCAA